TCCACTGCACTCCCGGGCCACAGCAGAGAGCTGGACAGGAAGAGGAGCAACCGGGACTAGAACCCAGGACCCATATGGGATGTCGGGGCCACAGGCAGAGGATTAACCAAGTAAGCCACAGCATCGGCCCCTATAAACTATATATTAAAAGAGACAAACTTAAAAGGTCCTAGAGAAGAAAAAAAAAACAGAACATAAAAAAGGTCAGGCATCAGAATGATCTTGCACTAGTAGTAGGGAGGGTGTGGTAGAAAGTATCACTGTGCTCCTGGGTCTGTATACATGAAATACATGAAGTCTGTTCACCTTATATAAATAAAAAAAATTATTTTAAAAAAAAACAATGACCTTGCACTTTCAATAGAAAAACTGAAAACTAAAAGACAGGGGAATGCCATAAAATTTTTTTGTAGAAAAGATTTTAAACCTAAAAGTTTACACTTAAACTATCAATCAAGTAAGTATATGGTAGCAAAGACATTTCAGACACAGTTTCCCATAAGTTTCAGGAAGCCAGTAGAGGATATGCCGTACTAAAAGAGGAAGTAAACCAAGAAAGAGGAAGGACGGCAACTGGAAACAGGGAATTCCCAGGATGACAACAGGCAGCAGCAGAACCACAGTTATGCAGCAGACCTACAAAGTCACCAGTCCACCCTCAGGAAGGAGTCATGGTTCTGAGGGTGTCTGCCTGTGGGGAATGACATCTCTAAGAAAATTCCAGAACATACAAATTATGTGATATTTATAATCTTGGGGAAAATTCTATTTTGTAGGAATATTTTGCAGATTTCCCGTATACCTTGGAAATGCAGTATTCTCAATATTAGGCAAATGAGAAGGAAAGAAAATGATTAGGAAAACAAAGTTTATAAGACTATAACTAATCACAGTGCTCTACCTGGTTCAGTAGAGAACACTGTTTCAATAATGAAGACATAGAATGTGTATTAAAAATTGAAATGCAATTTTATTAGGAAAATGAGCAAAGTGGGCATAAATAATGAAAATCTTTATCTATCATATAGAAATACAATAGCTGGCCAGCACCATGGCTCACTTGGCTAATCCTCTGCCTTCGGAGCCGGCACCCCGGGTTTTAGTCCCGGTTGGGGTGCCAGGTACTAGTCCCAGTTGCTCCTCTTCCAGTCCAGCTCTCTGCTGTGACCTGGGAGGGCAGTGGAGGATGGCCCAGGTCCTTGGGCCCTGCACCCACATGGGAGACCGGGAGGAAGCACTTGGCTCCTGGCTTCGGCCGGCCGTAGCGGCCATTAGGGGAGTGAACCAACGGAAGGAAGACCTTTCTTTCTGTCTCTCTCTCTCTCACTGTCTAACTCTGCCTGTCAAAAAAAAAAAAAAAATACAATAGCTAATATCTAAAACTGATGAGTTAACAGACAACATAGGCATTTTATTTACAAAGGAAAACAAATTTTAGAAGGAAAATCTACAGTAGTTTAAGGTTAGAACCTCTAGAGAGCATGACAAAGTTGGAGGAAAGCTGGAGGACAACAGATTGTTTCTTGTGATATGCATTTTTGTACTGTTTGATTTTTAAAAATTATTTTCCTATAACGTTGCATAAAAATCTAAACACTACTTTGAAAAAATGAGTTTATTCCTTAACAGCCCAAAGGCTTAAAAGTATAATGTGTAACTTCACAATAAAACATTAAATCTACTAATTTGCCTTCTTTATTAGCCTACCCTAGTTTTGGAGGGTCTGTATCAGACCACACATGGATTCTTAGGAGCCACAATTTTGTGTTTTCATTTCAACTATAATTGCAAATGTAGAATCCTCTTCCAAATCACGCAGACAGCCACGACGTAACTGCCATTGTGGTGTGCTTGCTATCACAACTTAGGGCCAAGAAGTACTACTGTATTTAGTGCCAGAAAATGAAAAAAACAGTGTCTCAGTCTGTTTAGGCTGCAGTAACAAACTAGATGGCTTACAACCAGCAGAAGCTTAGTTCTCACAGTCCTGGAAGTTCAAGAAAAGGTGCAGCCAGATTCTGTTTCTAGCGAGGGCCCATTTCCTCACAGCCATCGTCTCACTATAATCGCATACAGCACAAGGCCAGGGAGTTTCTCCAAGAGCTCTTTTTTTTTTTTTAACTTTTATTTAGTAAATATAAATTTCCAAAGTACAGTTTATGGATTACAATGGCTCCCGCCCCATAACTTCCCTCCAACTCGCACCCCTCCCATCTCCCGCTCCCTCTCCCATTCCATTCACATCAAGATTCATTTTCAATTATCTTTATATACAGAAGATCGATTCAGCATATATTAAGTAAAGATTTCATCAGTTTGCACCCACACAGAAACACAGAGTATAAAAATACTGTTTCAGTACTAGTTATAGCATTACTTCACATTGGACAACACATTAAGGACAGATCCCACATGAGGAATAAGTACACAGTGACTCCTGTTGTTGACTTAACGATTTGACACTCTTGTTTATGGCGTCAGTAATCTCCCTAGGCTCTAGTCTTGAGTTGCCAAGGCTATGGAAGCCTTTTGAGTTCGCTGACTTTGATCTTATTCAGACAGGGTCTTAGTCAAAGTGGAAGTTCCCTCCTCCCTTCAGAGAAAGGTACCTCCTTCTTCCCCAAGAGCTCTTATAAGGGCCATAATCCCATTCATGAGGGCGCTACTCTCATAGCCTAATCATGATCTCTCAAAGACCCGCACTCGCTTCTGTCATCACTGGGGAGTTCGGATGTCAGTGTATGAACTCGGGGGCATACAAACATCCAGCTCATAGCAAGCAATAAAGGATGTGTCAGTATCAAATTAAATCATAGCAGGTGACACAAGTGAAACATCTGTAATAATCTGAATGGGCCAAGTCTTGAAGAAACTGTATCACTTTTTAAAGCTTTATTTTATTTTATTTGAAAGACAGAGTATCAAAAAGAGAGGGAAAGACAGAGAAAGAAAAATCTTCTATATGCTGGTTCACTCCTCAAATGGCTATAACAGTTGTGGCTTGGCCAGGCTAGAGCCAGGAGCCTGGGACTTCATTCAGGTCTTCCACATGGCAGGGGCCCCAGTACTTGGGCCATCTTCTGCTGCTTTCCCAGGCACATTATCAGGGATCTGGGCTCAATATGGCACCACAGGCAGTATTTTAACCAACTGTGCCTCAAGACCAGCACCTTGAGTCACTTCTTATAGAAAAACACCATGAACTCAAAAGGACCAACAGTCAGCACCAATATTCATGTTGCAAGTTGCACCTTGGACTCTGCACAACATTATTGCCAGAAAAAAAGTAATATTGGTAATTTAATTGCATTTATTGGTTTTATACTATATAATTACTGTAAGGATAAGAAACATCTATTTTCATATTAGTATATATTAGTCCAAATAATAATTTAGTTCAATCATAGAATGAATTTTTCCCTTTAAATTAAATTCAACATTATTTAAACTATTCTGTTAAAAAAATGTGCATAAATTTGAGAAGCACTGACTCATTTACTGACAAATCTCATTAGGTCAATTTTCTACAATCAGGTTGTAGCATTCACTAAGTGCTCATTAACGTTAGAAGGAAATACCTTTTTCTTTCATCGATTTTAGTTCACTAACTTTATTACCATGATGCAGTAAACGGCTTCATTGTTGAAATCACCCAGATTTCTTTTCCCTGACCTCTATTTATTAGTTATGCTCACCTATATATAATTTATGCCTCCCCTGACCTCAGAGAAAGGAGTAGGAAAACGCTTGAGAGGGTGCAATGTTTTGGGTTTCCTATTGCTGCCATAACAATTTACTATAAATTTAGCAGCTTAAAAAAAAAACTTACTATCTTATGCTTCTGTAAGAAACCCAAAAGGAGCTAAATGGGGCTAAAATCCACATGCCAGCAGTACTGCATTTTTCTGGAGGCTGCAGAGGAGAATCCATTTCCCTGCCTTTTCCAGTGTCTAGAACCTCCCGCATTCCTTGGTTCACTGCCACACATCACGCTGATCTTTACTGGTCATCAATCTTCTTTTCTAAGTCTGATCCTCTCACCTTCCTCTTACAATTATGAGAACCCTGTGGTTCATAATCCAGAACCATCTCCCCACGCCAAGACCTTAATCTAAGGCAAAATTGTTTTTGCCTTGTCAAGTTACGTGCACAGAACAGGGATTAGGATATGGACATCTTTTGGATGGCATTATTTGGTCTACCACAAGGAGTGCCACTTGGTCCATCCTGTCCCCAAAGCAGAAAGTCTCATAGAAGGATCTGCTTTGGAAAAGTAGGAACACATTCCCTGGGAACTGAAAGAAAAGGGCAGTAAATGTAAGACAGCATTTTACAGTGTGTGGGAATGAGGTTCTTTTTCTGAGGAAGATTGAGGAGCACACAGGGGCTTTGAAAGGGGTGGACACGCTGCTCTGCGAGGTGAGAAAACCCCACTAAGAAGATAAAGCAGACTGCTTTCCTAAGGGCCCGAGATGTGGTAGTCTCCTGGGAAGGACTCTCTGAGGACATGCCAGTCACCATGCACATGAAGATTACTCCCAGCTCCAAAACGCTCACTTCACTGCTATTGCACATTTGCAAACAGCGCAACTGTAGCGTCAGAATTAACGTGGCTCTACCACCTTTTCGGTATGCCCTTGTTTTCTGCTTTGCAGGATTCCTCCAGCATGAAACCTGACACTAATTAGGCTAGCCCCAAGTAGGAAAATAAAGATGATGAACCACAACCCACTCTGGAGATAAACCAAGGAAAACGGATCTCTGCCCAAAAGAACAACAGTGAAAAATCGTATTTGCCAAGGGGCTATCTACTAAGAGTTTAAATTTTTAGAAGAACAAAACGTGGAGAGTCTGATAAGATCTGCCAGCTACTGCTGTTTTCTCAGATATTTGCCAGGGCCACAGCCACTGAAGCTTGGGTGGATTTCTCTCTTGCTGTGTCATAAGATGTTCCTCTCCCCACCCCCACCTCCTCCCTCCTGCTGCCTCCACCAGTGCCTGTGTGTGTGTGTGTGCGCGCGCACGAGTGTGTATTTGGTTTCTCTCTCCCCTGTAAGAACACAGTCCGCCCGCCTTCTCCTGCTGTTGCTGCCGCTCTGACTTGCTCTTTGCTGCTGCTTTCCTCTCTTTCTCTTCCTGCTTAAGCTCCCTGCCTTCTGGTAAGTATGACAAACACTCCCCCAAGCCCTGTGAGATGTAGGGAGTGGTTTGTGGTGCTCGAAACTTGCAACTTTGAGACTGCCAGTGAACTGTTGAAGAACTTTCCATTGTTGCATTTATAATTAAAATGTGTGGCTCAGGAAGGGATGTGTGAGTGCTGGGACTGCCAGCACAAGTGAAATATGCTCTCAGAGGAGGGGAGGAAAGGGCAACACAGTTCACATAGATGAAAGTGAAAATTAAATTCTTTGACATAAAAATAATTTATATAAAAGGGTCCTTTAAAACTAACAATGTTTTTTCCTCTTGTTGATTTGTCTTGAGTCTACTTTTAGAAATTGAGTTGTCCTGTGGTTAATGACTCAGTTATTCTGCCTTAAAGTAAATGTGGAAAAGGAGTTTAAAGAATATTTGTGGAATTAAAGACATCAATGATAATGACATCTGAAGAATGAAGAATAAATCAAATACAAACAAAACATGTGCATGTAGACTAACCACAGTAAAACTCCATACACAGTCGGTTTTAAATTCTTGATTGAAATTCGCTTTCATTTTGATTTGATTTGATTTGATTCTAATATGGGTTCCCAACATTTTAAAACTCACATATGGTCTTAAGTCACTAAATACATACTGTTTTAATTTGATTTAAAAATTATTCTCTTGAATGCCCAAGGATGACGTGCTAAATGCCATGACTCATTTTAGAATAGCTTAAAATAACTTCTGACTGGACAGCAGGTGCCATGTGTCTTTGAGTTTAGAGGAAGCATAAGTTATATATAGATGAGTGTGCCTAACAAGTGGAGATCAAGATCAAGAGATTCCAATGAGGAAAACAAAGAAGCTGTCTACTACATACATTATCTGATCATCAAATTGGTGAATTAAAATTGGTGAAAGAAAAAAAGAACTTCCTTCTAACTTAATGAGTACTTGGTGAGAGCAACAAGTAGGTGGCAATGTCTAAGCTCTGGCTTTTCCTTTCTCGCTGGTGTCCAAACATCTGACACCCACTGCCCTGAGAATGAGGGAAGGGGGCTGTGCCGTTGATACAAGAGTATGTTTTTGTTCTCACTTTCACATGACCATAGCAGCAAAACCTATGAATGATGAGGATCGTGCCATATTTTATGGTCATAAGTAGCATCATCAGCATTAAATATTATTTACAGATAAAATGTTCCATCACTTAATGAACTAACACAAACTGATTGCAAATCTAGAAATGGTAGTAGCCAGACACCCTACAGTAATCTTCCACACAACTTTGTTCCTCACTCCTCATTTCTTAAGAACTTGTGTTATACTTACATTATTTTCCTAGTTCATTCCTTCCCTGCTTTTTTACTTGATATATAATAAAAATGATTGGCCGACGCCATGGCTCACTAGGGTAATCCTACGCCTAGCGGCGCCGGCACACCAGGTTCTAGTCCCGGTCGGGGAGCCGGATTCTGTCCCGGTTGCCCCTCTTCCAGGCCAGCTCTCTGCTGTGGCCAGGGAGTGCAGTGGAGGATGGCCCAAGTGCTTGGGCCCTGCACCCCATGGGAGACCAGGAGAAGTACCTGGCTCCTGCCATCGGATCAGCGCGGTGCGCCGGCCGCAGCGCCAGTCGCAGCGGCCACTGGAGGGTGAACCAAAGGCAAAGGAAGACCTTTCTCTCTGTCTCTCTCTCTCTCTCACTGTCCACGCTGCCTGTAAAAAAAAAAAAAAAAAAAAAAAAAAAAAAATTATTAAGTTTCCCTAGAGTTACTTGCCTTGGAATAGAAAGTGATAATCTGCTTTCTTCTAAAAGAAAGCCGATTTTTATAGAGGAATAAAAAGTTATTGTAGAAATTTAAGAAATTGCTATTATTATAAGCATTACCATGTTTCCATATTGGTTGGTTTATTTACACCTTCCCTTATTCCACGTCTTATTACAAAAATGATGCTAGAATGAATTTCAGGAAAAATATTTTTGCTGATTGACAATTAATAACATGTTGCTCATCTGGGAAAAAGAAAATACTAGAAAGGCAAGAATATCTCCTGAATCACTAGAATAATTCATTTACATCCAACCATCTGTACTAATCAACTCTTTACTTACAGGTCAATATAAAGTTAGGGGCATTATTGTTATGAATCATTTAAAGTTAATTGGCTATTGTATTAAGTAATTTAACTTTGAATGAAAACTAATACCACTTAAAATTAAACATATGAAATGTATATACCTGTGTACTTCCAATGATTGTGAATCTACACATATTCATAAAAGAAAATGGTAACATTGGATCTTCTAAGCAAATGACAAATATGTCACGAAAAACAATACTTTGGTAATGTTAATAATAAGGTATACTGAAAACTAAAACCATAAATATGCTAGTAGTATGACTCCATCTGGAAAAATGGCTTCCCACTGTTTCTACCTAACTAATTGTAACAGCAATGATTTGTAAAAGTACATTCACTCTATGTTAGAAACCATAATTAGTTGATGCTCAATTTGCTCACATAACTTAGTGAACTACACAAAACCTAACTATGCTTACCACTTGATACTACACACAGTATGGAGATTAATCACGCTGAACAGCTCTCAGCAGAACAGTCCACACCTCCAGAGGACAGTTCTTCATCACCTAGGCAGAATGGCCTTGAGAAGCAAGATGGTCAGAATTCCCCAACCCTACTCCAAGCACCACAGCAAGAGGCAAGTGTGCACCCTGAAAAGGGGACTCACGACATCTCTGAAGAGTTAAACCGTCAACTGGAAGACATCATCAACACATACGGGTCTGCTGCCAGTACAGTGGGCAAAGAGGGAGCTCCCAAGGCCAAGGAGCAGCCTGCAAATGCAGAAGCAGCCGACCATGAGGATGGAGACTGTGAGGAGAACGCTGGAGAGGCTGACAGAGAACCTGCTGCTTCTGGAGACCCAGCCACAGTTAAAGAGCCAATCAGCAATAAAGAGCAAAAATTGGAAAAGAAAATCCTAAAAGGATTAGGCAAGTAGTTATGTTCTAACATGACTTTTCTTTGAATTATTCCTAAGAGGGGCACTTTCTCCAAACTCCACTAAAACCCACATCTAATATTTGCATCTCCTTCAGATCTTCCCACAGGCTCTCTTGTTCCCAGCCCCTTTCCCACAATAGAGTTTAAGTGAACTTTTTAACATATTACCCATCTTCCCTCTGTCCCAATGGTTTCCCATTGCCTTAGGGTAAAGACTAACATTCTTTTTTTTGGGGGGGGGGCCTCAATTTTTTCTTTTTTTAACTTATTTTTTAAGGAATATAAATTTCATAAGTACAACTTTAGGAACATAGTTATTCTTCCCACCATACCTTCCCTCCCACCCACACTCCCACACCTCCTCTTCCTCCTCCTTCACTTGCCAGTCCCATTCTCCATTAAGATCCATTTTCAATTAACTTTGAACACGAAGACCAACTCTATACTAACTGAAGATTTCAACAATTTGCACACACACACACATACACAAAAAAACTGTTTGAAAACAGTTAACTCTCATAATACAATTCATTGAGGACAGAGGTCCTACGTGGGGAGTTAGTGCGCAGTGACTCCTGTTGTTAATTTAAGAATTAACACTCTTATGTACAACATCAGTGACCACCCAAGGGAAGACTAACATTCTTAATATGTTCTTTAAGGAACTAATGGTCTAATCCTAATCAGTTCCAGATTTATCTCAAATCACTCTACCCCTTCCTAAACACTGTCCCTATTACCACAACCTCTACTACTACCACCTAATAGCTAGTCATCATTATCTTCTCTTTCACTTCTTTGAATATGCCATGCTCCACCCCTCACAAAGCCTGTGTACATCCTAGTGTTTTTAACCTAGAAATCCCTGCTCGTTTCATAATGCCACTCCCAATTCAGCTCTTTGAGTACTTGACTTCTATTCATCATTTAGCTTACAATTCAACTGACATCACAGCCCCAATGTTTTATTGTATCTTACATATTTTCTTTATAGAATTTATCAATGTTTGAAATTATACATATTATGTATACATAGCATATAGTTATTTGGTTAATATACATCTTCTCCACTAGATCTTTTATTTCATGAAAACAAATTGTGTATGTATTCAATGTACTAGATAGATGCCTATTGCCTAGGATAGTTAATGGCATATTCAAGATGCTTAGTGAATATTTATTTTAAGGATGAATGAATAAATCAATGGAAAAGTTATTTGAGGCAATGTAAAGAAGTTTAAATTTAGACAAAATATAAAAGGGAATAATTTGCATATACAAGATTGTCAGTTAGATCAGTTGTTTGTTCTATAACTATATTAAATATTTTTGATCAAGCATATCTCATCAGAAATGTATCAATTATAGAATGTTAATAATCAACTGCTGCAGCCACCTGGGGAGTGAAGTAGTCGATGGATGATTTCTGTCTCTCCATCTCCCTCTCTGTAGTTGTGACCTTCAAATAAATACATAACTCTCTAAAAAAAAAAAAGGAATGTCAATAGTCACATAAAATACATATTTGTTCCATCATTAATTTATTGGTTCAACGAATATGTATTAATGGTAGGTGAACAAGATAAATAAGAAAAGGTCATTTGGCCATGGAGCTTTAGGTATGGAGAGAAAAGTAGATTCCTAAACTAACTGTTAGATAGGATGAGCACAAAAACAGAAACAAGAAAATTTCTCAGGGCATGTGGAGGATTGGTAACACCAGCAATAACTACAAAAGAAGAAAAATAATGTTTCTATTGCTGTGAGTAAAAGCATATTACACATAGAGAAGTCCTTCTGCTTCTCTTTCCTGTTGAATTTCACTGAAACACTCACTACAAAGACCACCTCCAATTTGATACTTTTCCTGGCATGCCCAAGTGGAGTAGCAGCACCTTCCTTGGTTCTCTATTAAATCTTCCACAGCAATCATTTGTTTAAATTGCCTCCATGCTAGAAAGAGACTCTATAAGAGGCAGTGACCATATCTTACTCATTTCTGGGAGGCAGTGAAGTAAAGTAAACGATGATGGAGATTAACTGGGTTCAGACTCCAGCAACAAATTACCTATAAACCCCAAAGCATGTCTGTACCATAGTAGGCTCTCACTGTGATGCCTAAAAGTCATTGCTGCAACACTTTCAGGGACTCAAACGACATACTTTTTTTTTTTTTTTTTAAGATTTACTTATTTGAAAGGTGGAGTTAAAAAAAAAAAACAAAAAAAAGGAAGAAAGAGAGAGAGTGCGCGAGTGAGCTGGTTCCCTCCCCAAATGGCCACAATGGCCAGAGCAGGGCTGACCCAAAGCCAGGAGCTTCTTCCAGGTCTCCCAGATCTGTGTAGAGTCCCATGTACTTGGGCCATCTTCTGTTTTCCCAGGCCATTGCAGGGAGCTGGATCAGAAATGGAGGAACCAGGACTTGAACCGGTGCCCATATGGGATGCCAGCACTGCAGGCGGCGGCTTTTACCTGCTGTGCCACAGCACTGGCCCCTTCAATGACATACTCTAGTAACATCTGATCAATATAAGAAAGGATTAAAATAACCCAGATAATACTTTAAAATATTTTCAAGTTCCACAGTACAAAGGTGAAATCACTCTAGTATTTCTGAAACACTGGGAAACATGATGAAGTTGCTCTGTGTTACAGAGCTGTTCTTTTCCTTCTCTAATGGAAACACCTCAGATGTACCCCCTTTGCATTAGACATTGTTAAGGTTTTCATTAAGACGCTACACAAAATCTCACCCCAGAGGTGAACAGTTTCAAGTGTTCTTAACCAAAAGTTATTTTGCTTTATTACCCTAAAATTTCTACATAGCCATTTGTATTGAGGGGGAAAAATAAAGCAAGCAGAAGTTAACCAATTTGTTTCCACTTGGTCTTCCATAAATTATTTCATAACTCACATTAATATTCCCATTACTAAGGCCGGCGCCGCGGCTCACTAGGCTAATCCTCCGCCTAGCGGCACCGGCACACCGGGTTCTAGTCCCGGTTGGGGCGCCGGATTCTGTCCCGGTTGCCCCTCTTCCAGGCCAGCTCTCTGCTGTGGCCAGGGAGTGCAGTGGAGGATGGCCCAGGTGCTTGGGCCCTGCACCCCATGGGAGACCAGGAAAAGCACCTGGCTCCTGGCTCCTGCCATCGGATCAGCGCAGTGCGCCGGCCGCGGCGGCCATTGGAGGGTGAACCAATGGCAAAGGAAGACCTTTCTCTCTGTCTCTCTCTCTCACTGTCCACTCTGCCTGTCAAAAAAAAAAAAAATATTCCCATTACTAAATAATCCAAATGATTATTTTAGAGTAAGAAAAAAATTCTACTTCTCTAATTCTGCAACTATCTAAGAGTTACCAAACTCCAACTGAATGTATTTGAACAGAATTAATGGTTATGAATCAGAGTGCCTGGTGGGCCCACTCTAATTATGTGTGTGTGGGCTGATGACCTTTCTGTGCCATCCCACTCAACATCATTAGCATATTCTTCTGAACAGGGCACTATTTCAGATACATTATGAGTTAAAACAATATTTTTAGGCTAACATAAACATGTAACCAACTTTATTTCAGTTATCCACAAGGGGCATTATAAGATTTCTTGGCTACGTATCAGTTAAATGGCACTGCACTATTGTGAAGATCAGAGGTTTTCAAAGTTAACTGTGTATTAGAATACAATTCAGAATTTGTCAAAAAAATTCTATTCCCGAGCCCCTGCAGAGATTCAGAATTGGCAGGTCTGGAGTGGGGCCAAGGTACCCCAGGTAATTTTGACGCAGGCAGACTGTAGAAGGAATGGAGCTGAAGCTTCAGAAAGTGTTTCCTCCACCCTCATGGAGAAAAGATAAATTCTGTCTGTGGTCTGCTTTTAGAACCTATATGGGCCCTTAATAGAATTTTAATAAGTCATTCAGCCTATTCCTGAAGATATATCCACAGACTTTACTGAATCAAAGATGAATATTTGATTATTATATTTATCAGATACTATTTGTTGTATTGCTATTTTTGAGATGATGAATTGTTCTGAATCTCTAATGAAAAAGTTTCCTGAGTTTATACCTTTGGGACACTGAAATTTCAGACAAAATTAAACAGTTTCTCTACTGATAGTATTCAATTTTAATATAAATACACCAAAAATCTCAAATATCATGAGCAGAGTTTCTATCATTTCCTAAACTTATTGGACCAGAACATCTTGAATATCTGGGAAATGTCTCTGCAACCCAAGCACACAGGACTTGTTTTTCCTTTAAAGGATGTACGTTCTCCCACAGTCAACGCTCTATCTACCAGACCAGCCAGGGAAGAATTTTCAACTGCAGTTGGCTGAAAAAATCACTTTCCCATTAGCATCTCAACCAAAAAAAAAAAAAAGCAAGTAACAACAACAACAAAAAACCAAATTCTACTTATGCAGTGCCTTGACATGTCTTGGTAACATCTGAAGTAACCCCCGTGTTTCTCCACCCCAATTCTACAGCCTCACAAGTGCCTTATTAACCATTTCTTTGACAAAATTATGTGGGCTGTACAAACACCACATAATAATAAACACAACAAAATAAGTTAAATTATAAAATATAATATACCTTCTGATATTTATGTTGTAACTGATGGAACAGGAAATTATAGGTTTGAAGCGTAAACATACAAGAAAAGCCAAGCTGATCCACAGGTCCATTCTGAGCTCACCATCTATCTAAACAACCCTCTAATTTTATAGACAGGGAAACTAAAGCATAGGGAGTTTAAGAGTCTGCTAAAAAAGGCATGAAGTGTTTGTAAGATTAGTCATAAGGAAAGCTTGGAGCAGACCTGAAGTCACTCATATGAAAGACCAAAGGTTTACAGACCCTATTAGCATATTAGCTGAGGTGCATTTACAACAGCCCAGCTAACGGATTTTGTCTTTCTAGTTACAGGTGACATTTAGCTCCACCTTCAGGGAGGCCCTTGAGTAGGACTTTGGTATTCAAATGTCTTCACACACCCACCTATACTTGGTCTTCCTCTGAACTGCCACCTATTTCCGTTTGATTTCTAGTTATTCTAATAGGATAATAATCTGTTACTTTGATAAAAGGTGCTAACTTTTCTGAAGGAGTTGGTAGGACATCAGAGAACTTCAACAGAAATAGGAATCACAAGAGGCTTAAAGATTCATGGGTAGATTTGCCCAGAAGCTAGAACTTAGGCCAGATTCAGAATAGAATGGAAGGATTAGAGAGGCAAATGGAAGAGGAAATAAAAATGTCTTGGGCAAAAATGATCAGTACTCACTTCTGCTCAGGCTAGGTAATGTGCACATGAATACTGCACTGCCCTTTCTCCTATTTTTTTCCAATCGCTAATAGTTTAAAACCATCATTGGTTGATCAAGTAAGAAGTCCAGGTCCACTCCAAAACTGAATAAGAGGCCAAAGTTCTAATTACAAATATAACAAGGTCACTAAAACACAAGAGGTAAAATGCCAGCCAAATGGAAAACAATACGACTAGAAAACACAGGCAGGGTAGCATTTTCAAAACTGTAGTGACATTAGAACCAAGTGAAAAGAACAAAAGCTGTGACTTAAGAGATGATACTGAGGGGGAAGATATGCTTCATAAACTACAAAGTGGACCAAAAACACACTCCAGACGACAAATTTACCATCCAAATGATGTTGCTTTTGTGTCTCTGTTGCTATCTAAATCAAGCTAAAAATGATTAAAGCTATTTCAGTTATAACATCACCAGATATTAAAGTCTGAACTCAGAATCAATTTAGTCAATTCACTTATTTCATAGACAAGGAAACTGAGGTCAAAGAACTAAAAAGTCTGCAAAACAACATTATTTAACTAGTCAAGGTACATCAGTTCTAGAACCTAGGCCTCCTATCCTTAGTCTAATGTGAATGTAACTACATAATTCTTTTATTCTCCACATACATGAATCTTACTTTCCTTAGACAATATCTATATACGCTCAAGGATCACTTTCCTCACAATCTCTATCTTTAAGTTACATTTCAAAAAAAAGAAATAAAATTAACACTGAAATATTAATCTAGGCCTAACGTCAGAAAAGGGACATTCACAGTCTTTACTGCTTTAGCACCTATTACAGCTCATGGAAATCTATAATGCGGTTGAGAGGCATAAAAGTGTACATTTAAGACCCAATTTTAGCCCTTAAGTCTTAAAAAATAATCTTGGGAGAGTGTAAAAAGCATAGTTTTAAACCTGTAAAATCTGCATAAATTGTTACCCTAAACTTAGAATAAACAATCATTACTATGCTGAAAGTTTAATAAAAATCCTAGTCCACATTTCTATAGCTAGTTTAGTTGTCTTAATTTAAGACTTTTAATTTCATTGATATAAAGATAATTCATTCATATTCCAATATAACTGTGCCAGTGAGCACAGTCATATGTTCTTGCTGCATAGGTGGTTTGATTTTCTAGTAGACTTCCTACCAAACTGAGCATTTTGCAGTGTGGTGACCATATGCCCACAACATGTCTTCCCCAGATTTTAATGGGGAAGAATTGAAGCTTGGAATGACACATTAGGGAAAATGAAAGTGATTTATTCCAACAAAATGTCCCTGGATTAAGTTTGCTTGTTCCTCTTGGGTCTGACATTGTCACCAAATAACCCCATTTCCATGGAGACTTAATCATAGCCTTTTTTAGAAGATGAGCCAGTCTCTTGTCTATACTCCTCTGTGATTATCCCACACAGTCCCCTAGGCGAAGAAAACCAGTGAAATTTAAAAACTCAAGATTCTGATGTCAATTATTTAGAAATTCTGCACATGCTTGACTCTAATTTCTTAGATTTTTTTGTTGAAGGAAGAAACAATTTTTTAAAATACATTGATGCATATGAGTGTTAATCTTCAATACTAAATCACAGAATAGTAGAGTAGAAAGAGATCTCAGAAAACGTGATGATGAAAAAACAAAACCCTTTACTCACAGTTGCAGAAAACAAAAGTGTGAATATTCTTAAGTGGGAAGAAAGCAAGAACCACTGGACTCAATTCAACTGCTTCTATCGCCCCTAAATAAAACAAGCCATGATTTTCTTTTAATGCTGAAAGTGTCCTGCATTACATGTCACAGGTGAGAGTAAGTCTGACTTTCCTCTAGGTGATCATAAACTTGTTTCTAGGTAAGCATTCACTTGATTCACATAATACCAGTTTGTGCCATCTGGCTTTATTTTATTCTATTAGTATGGACATTCACTGAGCACCTGCCACGGGCAAAGCACACTTGCTGAGTCCTGGGCCAAAACCAAACAACAGTATGACTGGTCTCTTGCCTTTAATAGGTGGCACTCTTACTCAGGACAATTGTCTTTACGTGGTCACCTTCCTTGGACAGAAGACAAGAGTTAAAGGATGGCCTGACCAACATAAATCCAACCCTGCTGCTAACGGAATAACCTGAAGCACAAGCCTGGCAGCGCTGGGGCAGCAGTGATTATCAACTGCACAGGGCAGCCCTTCAAGCCACAGGAGATAATGAGTGAACCTGGAGGGTCCCCACCCATACCCATCTTCTCCCATGTCTTAGACCATGTCTCTGCTCTGAACTGACTCACTGCACAAAAACAGACAAAACTAACTGGGGAATGAGGTCTTTTTTTTTTTTTTTTTTTCAAAAAAGTTTCCTTCTATTTCTCTAGATTTCCCTGGCATCAATTAGTGATTTAAAACAAACAGACTAACCTTGGAGTCAAGTCTTGGCTCGGCCAACACTAATTATGTAATTTGAGGTTTTTCCGGGACCTTGGCTAATTAATCTATAAAATCATTCTGTTAGTCTTGATACTCTTTGACAGTTCCTTGATTCCATGTAGTTGCCAAATTTGGCAAATAAAGATAGAGGATGTCTAGTAAAACTCAAATTTCAGGTTAAAAATGAATAATATTTCAGTACAAGTATCTCTCCATGCCCTCTTTCATCCAGCAGCCCTGATTTCATGAAATATCTGCCTCTCCAGTATAAAAGCAAATATTCTGGCCAAGGGGAAATGTCTGTTCTTGGGGAGGGGGGAGTTGTCAAAGTTGGAAGTACTCTGCAGCAGATTTGTATCAGGAAACATGGATGCTGTTGCATGGCTCTTGACCTTCCAAATGTAGTTAGACAGAGTGGTTGTCACAGATAGTTGAGGGTAGGGAAAATGATCTACCTTAATTGAACTGTTTGGAAAGGTATTTAGTGATAAATGTAAGCCTCAGATGTTCTCCTAGGGCTCAACATAAGGGTTGCTGGAGGACTAGACTTCCGGCAACTCAGAAAGGCCAATTGGTCCTTTTGATCTGAAGAAAACAAATGGAAGAAAAATGGGGGGTGGGGGTGGGGGCGGGACTTGAGGCTTCCCATTGAACAGTTATGAACAGATGGGATTTAAGATGTAGCAGAAGAGTGGGCATTTCACTCAGTCATTAAAACGTAAGTTAGGATAACTGCATGTCACATCGGAGTGCCTTGGTTTGATTCCTGGCTCTGGTACCTGACTCCAAGTTCCTTTTAATGCACACTCTGGGAATCAGCAGTACTGACTCAAGCAGTTGAGATCTTGTCACCCACATGGAAGACCTGGATTGAAGTCCAGGCTCCTGGCTTTAGCCTGGCTCAGCCCTAGCCACCATGGACATTCAGAGGCTGAAATAGTGGATCTCAGCTCTCTTTTGCTCATTCCTTCTGTCTGCCAAATAAATATGATTCCAAAAAATCATATCTGAGGCTCAAATCGGTTAGTCTCTTGGCTAAGGCTGGTAGTAGCTAAGAAGTGGTCTAATCTCAGATTCTAGCCCATATCAACTGATTGCAAGTTCAACACTTACTCTTTTTGTAATGTCTTTCTTTTTCTTTTTTTAAGGCAAAGAAGCCAACCTGCTAATGCAACATCTGAACAAGTTGCAAACACCTGAAGAAAAGCTTGAGTTTTTATTTAAGAAGTATGCTGAATTGGTAAGCTCTTTGATTAGCTCTTTTTGTCAGAAAGAACCAGGTTCTGGTCAGAGCTGAAGAAAGGAGGCTGGTAGTTTTTCATGTGCATCATTATGGACCATAGTTGGTTAGTTCAAACAAGCCAAAGCTAGAATTCATGAAAGGAGACATTTTTAAGAAAAATAAAAGCTGGGCTGGTGCCTGTGGTGTAGTAGGATAGGCCTCTGCCTGCAGCACCGGCATCCCATATGGGTGCCAACTCATGTCCTGGCTGCTACTCTTCTAATCCAGCTCCGTGCTAGTGGCCTGGAAAGGTTGTGAAAGACGGCTTGAGTACTTGAGCCCCTGCACCCATGTGGGAGACCCCAAAGAAGCTCCTGGCTCCTCAGGTTTGAATCGGCCCAGCTCCAGCCGTTATAGCCACTGAGAAGTGAACCAGCAGATCAAACACCTCTCTTTCTGTCTCTCCCTCTCTCTGTTTGTAACTCTGCCTCTCAAATAAATAAATCTTAAGGGGAAAAAAAAAAAACAGCAAAAGAAATAAACAGGGTAGAATTGTAGTCTACACCACTTTCAACTATCTGTATAGTTTTGGGAATGGTAGAAAAAGCTATAGATAATGGAAAATTATGGATATTTTTCTTTTCAGCTTTGCAATAAAACAGAAATATGTTGGAAAAAACAAATCTTGAAACTTCCCTTCAGTTCTTGTGTTGTGAAGGGTACACAGAGCAGGCAGCAGGGGAGTGAATTAATGCCACTCCTCAGCTGATGGCCCATTCTCCTCTGGTCTGGCCTATTTCTGTTTTTATTGTCTTTGATCTACAATCTTCTCTCTTCCCAAATGGACTGTGTTGTGCCAGGTTCTAGGTTCTCTGTAGCCCTTTCCTAAGTTAGGTCCATGGGGATCAAGAAAGCTACTCCCAGTCATCAAAGTATTTGAAGGGGATTTTCCCTCCACCAGCACTCTAGAATTGGCCAGTTGCAGAAAGGAGAGGCTATAGTGAGGCCCGTGTCTCACTAACTTTCAATTTACCTTCAAAAACACAGCAAATGATAAGATGAAGTGAAAACAGCAACCTCTAAGGTCTGTGCACTACCTCTACAGATTACGGGACCCACAGCAGAGATGTGGCATCCTCTCTAGTAAAGCTAGACAGTGTGCTTCTCTTTTTATTTCTGCTTCTTTGTGTTTTTTTTTTTTTAATTAAGATTTTATTTATTTATCTGAGAGGCAGAGTAGAGTAACAGAGAGAGGGAGAGACAGAAAGGTCTTCCATCCACTGGTTCACTCCCCAAATTACCGCCAATGATGGTAGCTGGGCCAATCTGAAGCCAGGAGCTTCTTCCAAGTCTCCCACGTGGGTGCAGGGGCCCAAGCACTTGGGCCATCCTGTGCTGCTTTCTCAGGCAGCATTAGAGGAGCTGGATTGGAAGTGGAGCAGCCGGGACATGAACTGGCACCCACTTGGGATGCTGGTGCCACAAGCAGAGGCTTAGCCCACTGTGCCACAGCATTGATCCTTCTGCTTCTTTCTTTTCTTTTTTTAAAAGATTTATTTGTTTGAAGGCAGAGTTACAGAGAGGCAGAGAGAGAGAGAGAGAGAGAGAGAGGGAGGGAGGGAGGGAGGTCGGTCTTCCATCCACTGGTTTACTTCCCAACTGGCCGCAGTGACCAGAGCTGGGCCGATTTGAAGCCAGGAGCCACAAGCTTCTTCCAGGTCTCCCACATGGGTGCAGGCACCCAAGGACTTGGGCCATCATTCACTGCTTTCCCAGGCCACAGCAGAGAGTTGGATCAGAAGTAGAACAGCTGGGACTCGAACCGGCACCCATATGGGATGCCGGCACAGCAGGCGGCTGCTTTACCCACTACACCACAGAGCCAGCCCCTACTTCTTTCTTTAAAAACATTTTTTCTCCAGGTATAGGCATTTAGCCTAGTGCTTAAGATGCCGAGCAGGACACCAGCATCCCACACTGGAGTGACTGAATCCATTCCCAGCTCTGCCTCCTGAGTTTAGCTTCCTGCTAATGCAAACACTGGAAGCAGAAGTGATGTCTACAGTACTTGGGTTCCTGCCATTCACATGACAGACACAGACTGAGTTCCAACCTCCCAACCCTGGACTGGCCCAGCCCTGGTTGTTGCAGGCATTTGGGTAATGAATCAGCAGATGGGAGCTTACTGGCTCTCACTCACTCTTGGTCTCCTCTCTCTCTTCCTTCCTGCCCCTCCTCCCAACAAAAGAAGTAAGTAAATCAATAAACGTATCTTTTAAATTTTCACGTATTTCCTTTGGAGAAGCAGTGACTGAAGAATTAAACTGAATACCATACACAACCGAAGAACACCTCCAGGTAGTAGGTTAAACAGTGCCAGTGCCAGTGCCACCACCACCACAGATTTACCTCTCAGCTAAAGAAGTTTAAACTTCAGGCCTCCCTGAGTCTTTGGACCCAATTCTCTTGACTTTTGAAAAGAGCCTCTACAACCACAAACCCCTCATCCCTACTGAGGGAGTAGAGTTTAGTGAGTGACTTGCTCTCTTTGTTTTTCACTCTGACTTGGTCCTGTAATTCCTTTTTGTTCTTTCCTGCATTCAACCCTGACATCCTGTCATACTGAATGGTCACGCAACAGACACAAATTCAGAAATCCTGACTGGCTGATTGCTTAACCCTTCCAACAATACTTCTTAATCACACAAAACACATCATGATGATACAAGAATGCTGAATGCACAAAACAAACAAAAATATCTCTAACACCAGCATCTAAAACACAAACTTTGTTTTATGGGTGCTCCTTTCCAGTTCTGCTATGCATACAGAGATCTGTTTTACTATAATCACCATCAGAGGGTACTTATAAGTTGATATCTGGTTTTCTTGGCTCATGTGACAGGCACTTTCCCATGTGTTTTATAGTCTTCATGGCTATATTTTGTAAAACTTGTGTCATTTTCCATTAAATGACTCTATTGATTCACTAATTTGAGAACATTTAGATTCTGCCCACTGTTTTGCTTTACTAAATACGCCGCATTGAACATTATCACATGTCAGAATTGTTTCTTCTTGTTTTTCACGATTTTAAGAAAAGGGTTCAGATGTAAGATTACTAAATCAAACAGGATGAGTGCTTTTTGGCTTTTAAACTCTATGGCCATACTGTTTTACAAAAGAATGGTAGAAATGCGGCCGGCGCCGCGGCTCACTAGGCTAATCCTCCGCCTAGCGGCGCCGGCACACTGGGTTCTAGTCCCGGTCGGGGCGCCGGATTCTGTCCCGGTTGCCCCTCTTCCAGGCCAGCCCTCTGCTGTGGCCAGGGAGTGCAGTGGAGGATGGCCCAAGTACTTGGGCCCTGCACCCCATGGGAGACCAGGAAAAGCACCTGGCTCCTGGCTCCTGCCATCGGATCAGCGCGGTGCGCCGGCCGCAACGCGCCGGCCGCGGCGGCCATTGGAGGGTGAACCAATGGCAAAGGAAGACCTTTCTCTCTGTCTCTCTCTCTCACTGTCCACTCTGCCTGTCAAAAAAAAAAAAAAAAAAAAAAAAAAAAAAAAAAGAAACAAAAGAATGGTAGAAATGCACAAAGCAAATAACCACGTATAAATTTTATTGCAATTTGTTTAGCATTGACTATTAAAAATTCAATACAATAAGTTGGGTGCCAAAAATAATATCTCCCTCCCACTCTAATCTATTCTCACCTATCCATCTTTGCCCTTTTTTGGTGTTTTCCACATCATTTTTCCTTTGACCCTTCAATTTGCCTCCTTATATCAAGGCCATTCATGTTCCATACTTTGCTGTACTAGGCAACATTCTAGGGTAACACAGGAAGTCATGTAGGATACAGCAATAGCACAGCAGCACATTGGAGAAGGAGCTCTTCTCCAGTTTGGCCAAGATTCTCTCCTGGAACCAGGACTGTTTATCTGGTCTCAGGCAACTCCCTGGACCTGCTCACCCCCTAGCCAACCAGTGATCTCACAAAGGGTATTTTTCCAAAAATCCTATCAATTCAAGCCTTCCTTATTATAATTTTAGCATTTGTATCATCTCCTTTAATAAACTTGAAAACACAGATCATTCTAAGGAAAAATGAATAGTAAAAGGACTAGCTACCCCCTCCCCCAGAAAACTGATACATTTCCTTTTCAGAAAGGAAAAATTATGAGGAGTTTCAATGTTTTACTTACAAACCTAAGCCTATTTCTTTGCTTAAATGTATGGATATTAAAATAGGAAATGTCTGAAATATAAGTGTTAACTGGAATAAGTCATCAAATTCAAAGCTGTGAATGAAACTGCCACTCCAGCAGATTCATCCTGTAATATTATCTGCCATTGTATTCATTAATAAATGAAGATAAGTTCATCAATAAATAAGGCTTGTTCATGATTAAATTAAAAATGGCCTAGGAGAGATACTTTTTGAAAATTTGCTCAATTTTTATGTAGTTAAAACAACATCACTAAAGGGATTCTAATTTAATACTTGGTATTACTTTTATTTTTAACTTGGTGGGGGTAGAAGGAACAAAAGAAATAGCAGATAAAAATCCTGTCATGGCTGTATAGAAGAACTTAGCCTAAGTACATTGTTAAGTCACAATCAATTTTTAAAGATTTTTCTCTTTTTTATGTATGTATTTGAGAGACAGACACACACACACACACACTCACAGAGAGAGGGAGAGAGCATGCTTCCATCCACTGGTTCACTTGCCAAATGCCTGCAATGGCTGGAGCTGGACAGAAAGTCTAGAATTATATCCAGGTCTCCTGTTACAGACTGTTACAGTTCAACAACTTGGGCCATCACCACTGACCCCCATGGTGCACATTAGCAGAAAGCTAGAATTGTAAACATAGCTGGGACTTGAACCCAGGCACTCGGTGATGGAATATGAGTGTCTTAACTGCTAAGACAAACACCAGCCCGACAAAAGCCAGAGTTTCACTGAATTTGATTCAGTTGCAATATATTTGCTGTCGTTCATTAAGAAGCCCCATGCATGTGTATTCATATAAGTCTGATATATTTGAGCAAAATTATCCACCCACTCAAAATAAAGGCAGAAAGCTCTTATTTTTTTATTTTAGAGCAAAGCAAGATAAACCTAGCCAAATTTTAAATCTGCATGATCTTGTACTAAATCAACAACACTAAGTGTTCAGTGAGCAAGCAGAAATCAGTTCTTTTCCAACTTTTAAAACACATGTGGGGAATCTCCTTCCTGGCACTCAGATAAGGCCACATGCAGGGGTAGTTTTGCCCACCATGAGACAACAGACATGTCTGCGTGGAGATTCTGTGGATGTTATGATTGAGCAGTATTGCTGGCATATAGTGAGTAGGGGTCAGAAATGGTGCTAAACAGCCTACAATACATAGGACAGCCCCACAAAAAAAAAATGATCCCTCCCAATGTGTCAACAGCAACACAGTTGAGAAAACTTCATAGATGGCTTAATCTTCAAAGGAGAAAATCTAAACCATAATGGCAAAAAGTTTATTTATTTATTTAAAGAAAGGATAATAAGTCATTTAAAACCCAAATAGAAGCATAAAAAATTTCACCCCTACCTAATAAGTATGGTTCAAAATGGAAGGATCACATCTATCCTAAGAACAGAAGTTTTGTTTGAGAAATATATTACAAATGCCATTGCTTTTCCAAGAAACATCAATTTCGGGGAGTACTTTTACTAACATGGGTCTTATTTTTTTCTTATGCTAATTCCCACTAATGAGTAGAAACTTCACATAAATATGATGACAGAATATCACACATACATGACCTTAGCTTAATCTGAGAAGCACTTTTGGTTATTTCCGTGTGGCACAAGGGAGGAAGGAATAAAACAAGAACTGAAGAAAGTCTTCGATCCTGCTCACCTAGCTCAGGGAGAACAAATGCTTTTTGAAAACAGGAAAACTAAGACAGGGGTCATGACTCAGGTGGCCTGTGTATGCACTTGCATCAGGCTCCTGAGGCATCAGGAACACCTGGAGCTCCCCAGGGCTTTTTCTTTCCATTAGGCAACAAGGTAATTATCAGGACTAGTCCCCCCCTGGCTTGGGCATCGTTCAGGCACCAAGGGAGCAGAGGCCAGCCTGGGAAATGGCTCCAGATAAAGCCCTGTCACTTGAATGTGGCCACACTCACGGTTGGCCTGAGATCAGCACTCCCGGGCTTCGCCAGTCCCTCTTGTGGCTCTGCAGGTTGATCTTCACACTGCCCCCATCAGCAAGAATGCCATAATAATGTGGCCAGATTTAGCAACTAAAAATATGCCGTATGTTCAGTTAAATTTACATTTCACATAAAACAACTTTTTTTGTAAAATTATGTCCTATACAGTACTTAAGACTATACTTATACTAAAAAAATTATTCCTTATTTTTCTGAAATCAACATGTACCTAGCTGTCATGTACTTGGCAGGCAAGGCTGTCCCAGAACATTAGCATCCCGAGAAGGAAGGGCAGGGGTGAACGGTCCCGTTTTACACATCCTCCCTGACACTTTAGTTCTGGCTGCTGGAGTGGTGGGGAAACAGCACCACAGAACTCACCCTGTTTAATTCGCCATGAACTCAGAGGGCGTGGGGTGGGTCGTGAGTGGGGAATGTTACAGATATTTGCCATTCACGCTGCTGCGTTGGGCAGTATGTTTCTGATGCCTTGGTGAAAAATGCTTAGGTAATTGAGGAGCACTCTCTTCTCCTTTCCCACACACAACTAATAACCGAAAATACAAAATTTTAAAGAGGACTTCATCTTCTGATTACCAGGACACTGATTTTCCTCTTCAATTTTTCAAATTAGCACAACATGTCTGCTGTGAGAAAGCATTATGAAAACTGTATGTAACCCAAGCAATTGACCACTGCCTCAATCCATGTAGGGCATTATAAATTCCGGCAGTTTGCAAATTCCATGACATGCCTTTTTACACTGGCTGCATATATTTCTAGATAGCCTCAAGAAAAAATATTTCTAGACCACCCCCCAAAAAAAAGATCAAAATAAGAAGAGATTAATAATAACGATGATGAAAAGCCTATAAACGTTACACTTTAAAAACTGTTCATGGGCCAGCACTGTGGCCCAGCAGGTTAAAGTCCTAGCCTGCAGCACCAGCAACCCATGTGGGCACCAGTCCAAGTCCCGGCTGCTCCACTTCTGATCCCACTCCCTGCTAATGCACCTGAGAAAGCATCGGAAGATGGCCCAGGTCCTTGGGCCCCTGAACACACGTGGGAGACCCCGAGGAAGCTCCTGGCTCCTGGCTTCGGATCAGCTTAGCTCCGGCCATTGCAGCCATTTGAGGTGAAAACCTGCAGATAGAGGACTTCTCTCTGTCTCTTACTTGCTCTGTAACTCTTTCAAATAAATAAAATAAATCTTAAAGATAAAAAGAAAAGTGTTCTACACATAGGGCAAAGGTGACATCTGTAAAGTTCATTTGCTTCCAGAGGGGCAGATAATAGCAAAAACCAATACCAAATGACCATAGAGTGATGTTTAGGTTTTGCTCCTTTTCTATCAAACCCGAAGAGATTCCTGACATTTTCTTTCACATTCACACCCTTGTGTGTAGCTGGATGAACATCGCACTGAGCAAAAGAAGTTGAAGCTCCTACAAAAGAAACAGGCACAGATCCAGAAAGAAAAGGACCAGCTACAGAGTGAACACAGCAAAGCTATCCTTGCTCGAAGCAAACTAGAGAGTCTGTGCCGGGAGCTGCAGAGACACAACAAGACACTGAAGGTATGTATCACCATGGCTCAGGGTAACAATTTTTTCGCAGGAAGCGTAGCCACAAGCCTCTGCTACTTGTGGAAAGAATGTGAGTTGCAGAATCAGAGTCAAGTTCACTTACTGGCCCTGCCAACCTGTTTGCTTGTGACCTTCACTAAGTTGTTTTGCCCCCTGGAGCTTGCTTCCTCACCCATAAAATGGGATTTATATCAGCTTCACTGTGTGGTGGAGGAAAATTTCAATGAGGTCCTACATGTAAGGTGCTCCCCTGACCTTTTAATTATGTTGGGTTTTCTTAAAGGTAAGTCTTGGTTCTACCCTTTTGTAAAATACTTGCAAAACGTCAGTGTTTTCCTGTTACGAAGTGTGCTGCATGAGATGAGATACACACAAAGCTAATTGACATGATAAAGTGAGATTGAGGGCCAAAATGTCAATAGTCATTTGAAAAAAGAAGCCACTTGAAAAAACACTGAAGCTCTTCAGACTTAATTATTTAATCTAAAAATAATAGACTGATCACTTCATTTAGTCTGCATGAGTTTCATTAATTACAGCCTAGGCCCCTAGCAGTGTGGCTGATTCGATTACACAGAGACACTAGCTCCATTCAATAACACAAGAAGCAAGGATTTCCAAGATAATAATATACACATCCTTGGTTTCCTTTCCAAGTTAATATTCTAAAGGTTTTGACACCAATATTCCTGTGAAGTAGCTATTTATTACATGTGTTTAAAAGGAGATATTGCAGGAAACAGAGGAATTAAAAGCATAGTGTTATGAACACTAACTCTCACAAATTTCAGAAGAAGGGGATCTACATCTTCCCAACTATTGCACCGGGGGCCGGCACTATGGCATAGGTTAAGCCACTGCCTGCAGTGCAGGCCTCCCATATGGACACTAGTTCAAGTCCTGGCTGCTCCACTTCTGATCCAGCTCCCTGGTAATGTGCCTGAGAAAGCAGTGGAGGATCGCCCAAGTGTTTGGGCCCCTGCACCCATGAGGGAGATCCGGATGAAGCTCCTGGCTCCTGGCTCCAGCATGGCCCAGCCCCAGCCTTTGCAACCATTTGGAGCATGAGCCAGTGGATGGAAGACCCTCTCTCTCTATCTCTGTAACTCTGACTTTCAAATAAATAAAATAAATTTTTTTTAGAAAAAGAAAAAAATAATTGCACAAAAGACCATCAAAAACCCAGGAGAGTTGTGCCTGGAGATGGAGACATTATTTTTATTTCAAGATCCATATTCTAGTGATAATTTTGGTATGAACATACACCTCACAGTTTTCAGTAATGTTTCAGAGAGAAGAGAAGAAAGTAGAATTAAACAGGGTAAGAAAATGCAGCAACGAGATTTAAACGGAATGACATGAGTTGGTCTCTGAGCAACAGTCAAAGACAGAATGATAGAAGTGGCAATAAACCCTGTAGGTACACCCATGCACCCTCATTGTGGCCTACAGCTGGGGACAATGAAATTAAGTATTATTATTAGGCCAGGAGTTCAGTGCTTTGGTTATTATGCCAGGAAATAAATGCTAAGTGCTTTACATGTTATTTCATTTCATCTTAAAAAATAACCTTATAAGGCTGATATCCCCACTTAATTGGTGAAGAAACAGAAACCGGGCAATCCAAATCAATTTCCATGGTCAGGCATATTTTAAATATCAAACTCAGGATTCAAATTCAAAATATTTACTAATTTCCCTTTGGAAATTTTCTTTGACCCATAGATTAAAGTGTTATTTCACTTTTTATAGCCCATTTTATATGGTCTATTTTGATAAACAGACTAAGTTTACTTGTGAAAAATTTGTTCAGATGTTGCGTGTACTGTACTATAAGTAACAATTACCTTTCGATCATTTATGTCTTTCCTGAATTACTGTCTGTCAATTGGTGAGGAATGTGTGTCTAAAACCTCCTAGTATAACTGCAGAATCATCTACTTTTAATTCTATCAATTTTTGCTTCATGTATTTTGTTGCATTGATATTATATGTATACACATCTAGTATTGCTGTTTCCTTGATGAATCAACAATTTCATCATTATAAAACGGTTTTCATTTTTTTTTGTGATGTCAACATGATCTAATACATGTCCACTCCAGTTTTCTCATTGTTAGTTTGTACAGCATAATATTCAATCTGAGTCTTTAAATTACCATTTTTTAAATTAATTTATCTGAAAGTCAGAATTACAGAAAGAGGGAGAGACAGACAGAGATCTTTCATCCACTAGTTCACTCCCCAGATGGCCACAATGGCTGGGGTAGGCCAGGCCAAAGCCAGGAGCCAGAAGCTTCTTCCAGGTCTCCCATATGGGTAGCAGCAGCACAAGCATTTGGGCCATCTTCCACTTCTTTTCCCAAGCCAATAGCAGAAAACTGGATCAGAAGTGGAACAGCCAGAACATGAACTGGAGCCCATATGGGATGCTGGCATTGCAGGTTATAGCTTTACCCACTACAAAAAATGCTGGCCCTAAATTACTATTCTTATAGATAGCATCTAGTTGGACCTTGCTTCATTTCATTCTTATAATATCTGCCTTTTAACTGGAGTACTAGCCCATTAACATATAATGTAACTATTGACGTGGTCCAACACTTTGTTATTATTTGTCACCTGTTTTCTGTTCCACTGCTCTTCTCCTTCCTTCCTTTAGATGATTTGAATATTTTTAAAAGTACATGTTAACTTATCTACTAGACATTTAAATTATACCTCTTTGCATTATCTTTACTGTGCCTATAATACACACACTAAACTTTCCATAGTATACCTGAAGTTAATACTGTATCATTTCACATACTGCAAATAAATGCCTGTTTCCTGACCTCTAAGCTATGATCATTGCATATATTACACTTCTATACATGTATAAAGTCCATGATACCATGTGACAATTTTCATTTGAAGAAACCATATACTTGTATGTTCCTTTAAAAATTAAAGGTCAAGGCAGGCTTTGTGGTACAGCAAGTTTTTCAGCTGCTAGTGACCCTACATCCCATATCAGAGTGCCAATTCACACCCTGCTACTACACAATTTGATGCAGCTTCCTGCTAATGCAGCTAAGAGGCAGTGGAGGATGGCCCAAGTATTTGAGTTCCTGCCACCTACGTGGGAGACCCAGATGGAGTTGCTGGCTCCTGCCTTCAACTTGGTCTAACCCTCACTATTGCAAGCATTTGGGAGTAAACCAGTGGATGAAAGACCAATTCTCTCTCTCTCTCTCTCTCTCTCTCTCTCTCTCTGTCTCCCCCTGCCACCCAACCCCTGTCACTCTGCCTTTCAAATAAATAAATAAATCATTTTCAAAATTAAGGGAGGGCTAGCATTGTGGCATAATGTGTTAAGTTGCTGCCCAGGACATCAAATCCCACATCAGAGTGCTGGTTCGAGTCCTGCTACTCTGCTTTCAATCCAGCTCCCTGTTAATGCACCTGAAAGGCAGTGGAACATGGCCCAAGTGCTTGGGCCCCTTACCCATGTGGGAGACCCAGATGGAGTTCCTGGCCCAGTTCCAACCATCAATGGCTATCTGGGGAGTGAATTAATGGATGCAAGATCTCTTTTTCTCTATTTCTCCCTCTCTGTTACTGTGGCTTTCAAATAAATGTATTTAAAAATAAAAATTAAAAAATTAAAGGAAAAAGCTGTCTTTTTTGTTTATCTAGATATTTACCATCCCTGATGACTTTTATTTATCCTAAAGCTTCAAATTTCTCTATCGTGTCATTTCCCTTCAGCCTGAAGAACTTCCTTTAGCATTTCTTTTTTATTTTTTTAAGATTTTATTTTATTTGCAAGGCACTGTTAGAGAGAGAGAGAGAGAGAGAGAGAGAGTGTGTGTGTGTGACCATTCACTGGTTCACTCCCCAAATGGCCACAATGGCCAGGCCAAAATCAGGAGCCAGGAGCTTCTTCTAGGTCTCCCACAGGGGTATTAGGAGCCCAAATGCTTGGGCCATCTTCCACTGCTTTCCCAGGCATATTAGCAGGGAGTTGGATCAGAAGTGGAGCAGCCGTGGCTCAAACCCAGAGCCCATATGGAATGCCGGCATCACAGGCAGCAGCTTTACCCACTATATCACAATGCCCATCCCTTTCCTTTATTATTTTTTACAGTACAGTTCTGTGGGCTATCAATTCTTTTAGTTGTCATCTATCTTTAAAATCTCTTTTTTTTGCTTTTATTATTGGAAGATATATTCACTGGATATAAAATTCTACATGGACAATGTTGTTTGTGGTTATTTTCTTTGAGCCTCATATAAATGTTTCACTATATTCTGGCCTCTGTATTTCTGATGAAAATCAACAATAGCTTCAACTATTGCTCCCTGTATATACTGTATCACTTTTCTTCAGCTACTTTCAAGGTCTTTCCACTGATCTTTGGTTTTCAGAACTTTGCCTACCTTATACCCAGCAGTGATTTTCTTCATATGTATCTTACTTAGTATTTGCTGAGGTTTTTTTTTCATCAATAACTATGTTTGTCTTCTATATGGGGAATTTTCAGTCATTATTTGCCCTCTTTGTCCTCACTCACTCTCCCTTCTTTCTGTCCAAGATTCCAAATCCATGTATGTTAGAATTTTTAATAGTGACTCACATACCTTTGAGTCTTAACATTCCTTGGCAATCCCGTTCTTCCTTTTTAAAATTTTTATTTAAATTATTCAAGTTTCATGTATTTCAAATATACAAATTTAGCAAGAGAGTGACACTTTCCCTCCACCTTCCCTCTCCTCTCTGCTCCAACCCCTCCTCCTCCTCCCTCTCACATTCCCACTCTCAATTTTTACAAAGATCTATTCAGTTTAGAGCATTTCTATGACTTTTAATTTTTAAGTTTCATGATTTTTTAAGACATTTTAAATTTATATAGAGAGAAAGAGAGACAGAAAGATAAAGATGTCTCATCTGCTGGTTCACTCCACAAATGCCCACAACAGCCAGGGCTGGGCCTGGCCAAAGACAAAAGCCAGGAACTTAGTCCACATTTCCCACAATACTGCCAGGGACTCAACTGCAGAGTCAGCACATGATGCCTCCCAGGACAGGCAGAGCAGGGAGCTGGAACCGGAGCACTGCTGGAACCCGGCATTCCAATATGGGATGTGGGTGTCCCAGGCAGCATCTTAACTGCCGTGACAAATGCACCACCCAGATTTCATAATTTTTAATTCTAGAATATCCATTTGGTCCTCTATTTTTCTCTTCTGAGATTTCCTATATTTTCAGTCACTGAGATGGTATTTTCCTTTATAAAATTCAGCACAGATAAAATACCCACTTTCAAATTCTTGCCTGCTAATTCCTCATCTGAATCACTGTGCCACAGACTTCCCCTGATTGTCTTTTCTTTGGAAAATGGTTCCATTTTTCTAATATTTTAATATGGCAAATCATCATTAATTATATCCTAGATGTTGTGAATGTTATGCTGTGGAGAATCTGGATCCTACTATATTCCCCTGAAGAATTTTTTTTAAGCAAGCAATTAATTTGGTTAGATTTAAACCACAAAATTTGTCTCTTAAACAGCAGCTCAAATCTTAGTTCAGTTCTTTTTTCCTGAGCTGGTCTGCTTCAAGTCTAAGCTACATGCGTGTGGTTCTGGGTCAGTCGAAGATTTTGGCAGAATTTAATTCACAGAATTTGATTCTCTCCTTTTCTGACCCTCTGTTTTCTGTACTTGCCCCCTCCCATGGTTATGGTGACCCAGAGCTCTGTACTCTCATTCTTCAGACTAGGAAGATAGGTTACCTCTGAAAGCTTCACCCATCCCTTTCTGCCTCCAGCTGCAGTCTGCTCTCAAAGCAAAGGCTGTACAAACAACTGGGACATCAGACTTTTATACAAAAACATCAGCGTCCCTCCAGAATCTGTCTGGAAAGTAAATAAAATAAGGTGAATCAAACAAAATCCATAAATACAAGGTATCTTCAAAAAGTTCATGGCAAATGCTTACTATAAAAAACTGTGTATGGATTTTAAACTTTTTTTTACACCAAAATAAATTCATCTTTTCATTCCATTTTCCACACACTTTGTGAAGTAATCCCATATCTGAAGCAGTAAATCTGAGCCTCAAACTATATTGAAAAAAAAGTGTCTAATAAGAGATAGGTTTGTGTTTCAGGCAACACAACTTTAATAAAGAAATAAGTAGCATCTGTTATCGGAATATCACAGAATTTTAATGTGGAAAGGACCATAGGAATCACTTGGTCCAAGCTACTCATATATCTGTACATAAATTAATAATTCATTGTTTCATTAAACATTTACTGAATACTGTGGCTTATGTGCCAAGCACAACACCAGTTCTAACATGGACAATGATGCATGCAAAGTTTGTTTTCTTAGTTATTTCAGACATTGTCCCTCAATCTTCTTTTCACTATTGATTTTCATTTTGAATAATATATTTGATATAAAGAAAAGAAATTGCAAATTCTTTATCAGTGGACTCAAATTTTATAAAATTTTGCTGGGCTTATTTTTGACTCACTGGAAAACAACATAATGTAAAATGTAAGATGTCATTCTGTGAGCCAGGGTTGGGTGTAGGATAGTTTGACATGTGTTTAATGTCACCGTAATCTAGCCAGCTTCCAATGAAAAAGTCACACTTGCTAAGTAGCATGGAATAGTTTCGGCAATTGCTCATGTATTCATGGATGGAATATTTGTTAATGCCAACAGAAGTCCAGTTCATCATAGTCTCTAGTTCTATTGAGAACTTAATGACTTCTAAGCAAATCAGGGGCAAGGAGGAGGCAACAACCATCATATTGTTATTCCAGGAACCATAATCATCTTAGTGAAACTCACATATAGGGTTATTATTCAAGGCTACTTCAAAGCATTCTTTGAAAATGGAGTCAAAAGGTAAGTTTATTTTGATCAAAAAAGTTTTTGGAATTCATGCAAATGAAGGTCTTGAAAGAGTTCATGGAAAATGTGTATGATGAAACACTGTTGCACAGGTTTTAATTTTTTCTACCAAAATAAACTTATCTTTGAACTTCATTTTCACAAATGTTTTCAGGTACTCTCATACAAAGTTCAAAGAAATAAAATTTTGGAGAGTTAATTCCTTCAGATTAGGAAGTTCAGATATCTAAAATGTTCCTGAGAAGTTGTTGTTCAATAAAGATTCATAACATGAATAAATTATGGTTCTGACGTCAGGAGTCATCTTAGAGTGTGGGACTGTTAATTCTGTAGTGCAAAGAAGATAATGATAAATTATTTCCATAGAATATATTTCTAGGATCAGATTTCTTTTTGACTATGTTGTTCTATTATAATAAGAACTGCTCATATTAAAATTATTATTTCCTTAAAAAAATCATGTTACATAATTTGAATTTGGTGGAAAACTCAATGAAGTATGATTTTACTTGCTAACAATGAAGGAAGCTTTCATATTAATTAATCAGGACTGAAAGGAAGCCTAAAATGTTACACTTGTCAGCAATGTGTCTCTGTCATGGTATGATGTAACAAAATTAAACCCTTTTATTCTAAAGTGAGAGGAACAATCACAAAGCAAACAATTCTCAAAATAGATGTGGAGGGAATTTGAGCACATTTTTAGTAGCTGCAATGAATGGAGAGTTTTGATTTAAAAGAAAAAGAACAGAAATGGTATAAAACTTCCAATTCTTCAATTTTAACAAAGGAGCAGAGTAAATTAGATGTTTCATTTTTTCATTGAAGAAGATTTGAAACTTAATATTGCTTTCACAACCAAGATTTACACTGAACATTTCAATTACTACATGTGACATGTGGGATGATTATTCTTTCAGAAATAAAATATCACACATGTTTGGGAAGACTTCCTTTTATATGTTTGAATAGCTTCAATTGCTCTTTATAAATTAGTTTCCTTTTTTAAGCCTTTTGATTGAAGTTTTTTCTTACTAAGAAAGTTTATACTGTGGTCATTCATATTTGTGAAACTTGGGTAATACATTTATGTGGTTAATAAGCCACAGTTTTTACAGAGAAATATAAGATCTATTGTTCTTTTTCCTGTACCAAACCAAAAGAACACAGGATCTGGCCCATCAATCATGAAAACTGAGTGGCCTTTTTTCCAGGCCACAGCCAAGAGATCAAACCCCTGTGACTGCCTGTTTGTTAGAAATCGTGGCAGTTCATTCACTCAGCAGGAGATCTATCATTCTTAAAACAACCCTATTCAGCACCAGCTATCAGCACCTGCTCTGAGTGACTGCCTCCTCACAGCTGAAACCCTTGCTCACACATTCACTTGGGATTGAGCATGGTTAGTTCTAAAGAACTGAGAAAAAATATCCACTTACCCTACCCGCTAATCCCCTTTTCGTGTGGGCTAATCCTGGGTTCTGTAAACTCAGAGCACATTTGAACCATCATCATAAAATATTTTGTTTTTTATTCACAGGAGGAAACCCTTCAGCGAGCACGTGAGGAAGAAGAGAAAAGGAAAGAGATCACAAGTCATTTCCAGAGTACCCTGACAGACATCCAGGCTCAGATCGAGCAGCAGAGTGAGCGAAACATGAAGCTCTGTCAGGAGAACACAGAGCTGGCAGAGAAACTGAAAAGCATCATCGATCAGTACGAGCTCCGGGAGGAGGTGAGAAGCACACGCATCCACTTAGAACTCTATGGATCTGAATCTGGGGCGTGAAGGTTGCGAAGCTGGTCAATAAGAAAGTTATGGCCAATCCTCACTTCTCAACTGATTAATATTTAGGGCTGGATTTCTTTTACCCGCCAAAATAGAGAGAGATGGTACTATGGAATACCTGGCTGAAAGTCCTATGGGATTTCTTCAAAACTGGAATCACTGCTAAGCAAATGCAATAGGCTGGAGGCACAGCCACCCTTGAAAACAGCATTTCTCAGCCTCTGAAAAATCCCCTCCATAGAGCCAAAAAGTGATTCACATATACTCTCTTAGGAATCACCATGTCATCTAAATAAAGAATCCCTCATTCATTCTATATACCCCACAAGCCACTAAAACACGATCAATAATGTCATAATTATAGTGTCACTTACTCTGTGCTTCCGTCATGTCAGACAATGTGCTAAATACCACCTTTTACATATAATATGTCACTGAACTGTCTCAACAATCCCATGCACTAGACAATAATATACTATCCACATTTTGTAGATTGGAAGCAGAAGCTGTGACATTAAATCACCATCCCACAGTCACAAAAGCCAGAGACTTGTGCTTTCGATACTCTAACATTAGGAGCATGATAGGGTCTCCTGTGATCCCAAAGTTATATTTTAATATTGAATATTTTTAAGATTCCAGATAACCTCTCAGGATTTTGAATATATTACATTCCTCTCCCTACCCCACCCAGATTTTACTTACCTGCCTTAAAATATAACATAACATAGTCAAAGCAACTCTGTTGGAAGATGCTAAGATTTTATCAAGAGAAAAACTGAGCCAATGGTGTGTGTTCACAGTAGTTAGGTAACTCAACTCACAGTATGCCAACTCACTCCTCAACTCCTCACAGTAAGCAATGCTACCATTTCATCTGGTCACAGGGATCAACCCCACTCCAGAAAGGAGGCTCAGGCTAAATAAGAAGCAAAAGGAAAATGCCCATGCTCTTCAGAGAAATTTTGGACGGGAATGGCCTGGTATACAGGTTATAAATTCCTCTAGGATTGTTCTGGCTAAGTCCCAAGGACAGAATTCTACCTGCCCTCTTTCTGATGACAAAATTGGGCTTAATGATAGAAACTTTTTATATTAAGGTAGGGTGGGAGCTTCTCTTTGCCTGGTTAAGTCCAGAGGTCAAAAGGTGTGGAAGACTCTGCACACTTGTATATCAATTCATCCCACTGGCTTTGCCATCCCCACCAGAGCAACACAGAATTTAGGAGGTGGGGGGCCACACTCCTAGAACCATTGGCTGGCACCCCAAGGCTTTCTCACAACCCTTGAAGCAAGAATGTGAATTCAACATGATAAACTGCATAAATATTATGATCAAAAGTGGATTTATATTCATAGAAAGAGCCAAATGCTATAGTCTTTGAAGTATAAATCATTGTGTGTGCTGTAGCTAAATAAATAAATAAAGACCATATCTACTCATTACCAAATTTTTAAAAATGCTGTTGAACTCTAACTTTTGCAGCTACCTTTGTTTACTGTGAAGGGTTAGGGACTTCACCAATTGATGTCTTTAATGTAAAGTGATAGCCATGCGATTTCCCCTTTTAAAAAAATCTTAAAATCTGGAGAATGGAAGTTTATGTTACTTTTTTTAATTTAAAATGTCTAAGCCTCAACAGTAAACCAAGTTTCATGCGTATACTTTATTTTTCCTTAGCATCTGGACAAGATATTTAAACACAGAGAACTGCAGCAGAAGCTGGTGGATGCAAAACTTGAACAGGCACAAGAAATGATGAAGGATGCGGAGGAGCGACACAAGCGGGAAAAGGAATATGTACTTATCATTCCAGTAGGATGCACATCTGGCCTACCTCAGCATCAGACACTCCCTGGGGAAGCTGTTTTGATAATGGTCAAAGGGCACTAGACTGAGAGAGAAAAGGCTGGAGATTCTATGAGAACTAAATTGGCCAGCCTAGCACTAGGGATGGTACCCATGTGACTTTTTACACAAAATGGGCAATCATCCATTTAACAAATATGTCTATGTGTCTTTAATCTGATAAGCACCACAGTGGGTGCTAGGAAATAGTTGTGAACAAGACAGAGATGGGCCATCTCCCACCACGGAAGAGATAGGCAACACACAAGCAAAGAAGGAAGGGTGACTGTAGATTTAAAATGTGCTACTAGACTGAGAAGGAGCCAAGGAGGGGGCCTACCTAGCTGGTGACCAGGAAGGCCTCCCAGAGGGGTGGATGCTTGGGCCAAGCCTTGCTCAATGAGGAGTCATCTCTAGCACCCGTGTCTGCAGCAGTGACAAAGGTCCTGATGCTGGAACCAGCTTGGTGTGCCCCAGGAAAGAAAAGGTTAGGGAGGCAAGAGCATGTGGACCAAGTGGGAGAAGGGTTCAAAATGAAGTTGGAGAGGTAAGGAGGGGCCAGATTGTGTAGCTTCGCAGGGCTTGGAAGGTAGTTTGGATTTCATTCTAAATACAGTGGGAACATACTTGGTAGTTTTAGCAAAGAAAGTGACATGATCTGCTCTACATCTGTAAGATTACTTGGCTCCTGGGTGGGAAGTGGATTCCAGAGGGACAAGAGAGCAAGACAGTCAGGAGGCTGCTGTAGCCATCCAGATGAGATAAGAGGATGACTTAGCCAAGGGAGGCGGAGCGGATAAAAAGTGTTTTCCGTGTAAAACTAACAGGCCATGCTCTGACCTGCAGAATGGGATAGTGAGGGAAGGGTGCCTCCTGGGCTGTAGACTGAAGAAACTGAATGGTGGTGTTTACTAATATCTCACTGACCCCAAGCACCCCTACAAAGCTATGGGGCATTCCACAGAACTGAGGCTTAAAGAGGATATACAACTTTTTTTAAAGGTCACATACTGCTAAGAGACTACAATGTGTTTAAAACCCACATGTGTCTGTCCCCAAAGTCCAGGCTCTCTGTGACAGTTCATCACACTTGGAGGTATATTTCAGAGGTATGAATTGAAGCATGTATCAGTTGCTGAGAGACAGGAGAGGTTTAAGACATAGTTAATGGGCCAGTTATTCAAATTTGGCCATTTAACATTGGACCACAAGCTTTTCATTTACCTGAAATTATTTCAATTTGTTAGAATAGTAATTTTTAAATAACTTCAGTTTTCCAACTTGGCAACAAAAAGATGAATTTTGGAGACTATAACCTGGTGACACTGGATAATTTCAAATCAGTAGTCCATGTTCTTTTAAGAAAAAGATGAATTTGTTAAATCCATTAACAACCTATCTCTCAAGTAAGAAAAAAAACCACTTTATTATTAGGCAAAATCCAAGGAAATAAATTCACCCCTGTGGACCTTACCCAATTAGGTAAAATATTCTTCCTACAAAATATCAGTGCTCTAGGATATAATATGAGACATGTCAGAGAAAGAATTAGGCAAGATGCACATGAGAGATATTACAGAGCAGATTCATAGTGACTCATACTTAGCAAGAAACTAGCACACTGTCCAATTTCCCTACACTTGTTTGGCAAAACAGCAGATTGGAGTCACAGAAAAGTAGTCCCTCTCACTTCTTCAAAGCGGCCACCTATCATGCTGCAGCTCTGGCAGTTCCTTTTGGGAATGAAGACGGTCTTCACCCACACAGGACAGGCAGCCACTGTCTCCCCTGAGATCACCTGGCACAGCAGCTGCCAAGCGTGGGCCTGCTTGATGCCCACACACCCGCTGGATGGCCAGAGCGGGTAACGTAGGTCTTTGACGCCATAGCTGCCCCAGCTCTCACCTGGGACTGGTCGGATGCTCTTCTGTGATAATCAATCCTCACTATGGCTGGGAGGCAGAAGAGAACAAATATGACCTACCTTATAAATGGAAAGTTTGAGCCGCACGAAAAAGACAAACTAGGATATGGGACAAAAATGCCTCTGAGCTTTTAAAATCCATGATTTCTTTGTTGTTGTTACTGTTGTTTTGTCCTGTCTACAAAGGACATAAATAGATTTCATGGACTTTTTTTAACCATAGGGATACACAGAAGAAAATGTAAACCGGCCTATCCTCGAATTCAAGGGAAACAACTGAGCACCAGCAGATTAATCTGTGACATTCATGATTCTCTTTGTAAAATGCACAGACAGGTGCTCACATATCACTATGCTGATACCTGTGACTAGTGAGCTACTCTCTGGAACACTAACACATACCTGCCCCATTCAGTAAGAAGGAAATTACTAAGGCAGAGTTACAGCGAGGGGGAGAGAGACAGGGAGAGATCTTCCATCTATTGGTAAATTCCCTAAATGACTACAACAGCCAGGCCTGGGCCAGCCTGAAGCCAGGAGCCTAGAACTCCACCTGAGTCTCCCACATGGGTGGAAGGGGTCCAAATACTTCAGCTATCCTCCGCTGCTTTCTCAGGTGAATTAGCAGGGTACTGCATTGGAAATGAAGCAGTCGAGACTCAAATCTGTACTCATATGGGATGCCAGGCATCTCACAGGCAGTGGCTTAATCAGCTGCACCACAATGATGACCTTCATTTTTATGTTTAAATCAACTTTTTCAACTTAACCCATGAACTTCAAGTTCTGATCATGTTGGTTATGAGAGTTTTGAATGTACAAGGGTACTTTTTAAAAAGTGAGATTAAAAGAAAAGTCTGAAAAAAATTGAAATTTATGCATAGTTTTGTCATAGTAAGCATTTCTCCACAAACTTTTGAAGTCTCCTCATATCTGCAGGGCTTTCTTGTGGAATAAGGATGAGACCTATTTTATAAACCTCCACAGGACAGGATTTAGAAAAATACGTCAAATCTCTCAATATGTATTCCATAGACCACCAATATCCAAACCATCTTGGGTACTTCTATACACACAGATTTCAATCACAGCTCTCCTTCCTAAATCATATTTTTTGGGAGGCTCCCGCATTTTAACATGTTGTCTAGGAGATACTGATGTATGTTAGAAGTTCCATGTCAGGAGCCAGGGATAAAAACCAAATATATGTTTCTTATTGTATCACATCTGCTATGGTGGAGAGCAATGGTCTAGAATAACCCAGGGTTAACATAAAGTAACAGCTGCTGGCAACAAAGCACCAGTTGGGGAGATCCTGGAGATATTCAAGCAGATACTTGGTCAGATAATTGGTCAGGATTGCTAGAGAAGGCTCCAGAATTTGCTAGGAGGTTGAATGTTGTGTAGCTCATGCAAGAGTTGGGGATTTTTTCTTTTTTCCATTACAACCACTAGCTATGGTTGAGAATCCAAATTTTTAGACCAACTGCTTTCTTAGTTTACATAGATTACAAACTTCTAAAATATTATGTAAGAGGGCTAATGAACAATGAGCAAGTTATTAGGTTCTACACACAAATTAGAGTAATTTCCCAAACAATCTGACCATCTTTCATGCATTCTGTCTTCTCTCAGTTGCTGAACCAGGCAGCAGAGTGGAAACTTCAGGCCAAAGTGCTGAAGGAACAAGAGACAGTGCTGCAGGCTCAGGTGAACTGGGGAGTGGGAGAGGCACGGGGTGCTGTCCTCACTGGTCTCAGGGGACTAGAGACAAAATGTTGTCTATAGAAGGCCTCACACATCACAGGGAATGAGGAAAGATGGGCTGGAAATGAAGAACAACATCACACTTATTTCTAAGTAAAAACAAAAGCACAAATTATGTCTATAAAAAAATGTTCCCAGCCAGCAATATCCAGTCAAAGGTTTGTTGATGGACAAACAATGGCACCAAAATGGCCAGTCAGAGGAAGCCAACGTCCGAGTTCCCAACTGTCCATAATTCCTCTCTCTCTCTCCTCCCCTAATATCCTACTCAGGTAAGAAAAAAATGTAGATTGTTCACATGTACCTTCCCTAGCTCTCAATTCTTAAAATGGCCTAATATTTTGATATTTCTAATACAAAGAAAATGAGAAACAGTCATTATCCAGGGTTCTGTGCTGTCAGAAAACAGTGTGCTTTGTTAGTGGGGCACGGCTGGAAAGGTGGGCAAATCAAGAACCATTTTTAGTTGACTTTGTGATGCCATTCATGTGTGTGTGTGTTTGTTTTTGTTAATTTTTATTTTATTTTTTTGACAGGCAGAGTTAGACAGTGAGAGAGAGAGAGACAAAGGTCTTCCTTTTTCCGTTGGTTCATCCCCCCACCCAAGTGGCCGCTACGGCCAGGGCATTGCGCCAATCCAAAGCCAGGAGCCAGGTGCTTCTTCCTTGTCTCCCATGCGGGTGCAGGGCCAAGGACCTGGGCCATCCTCCACTGCACTCCCAGGCCACAGCAGAGAGCTGGACTGGAAGAGGGGTAACCGGGACAGAATCCGGTGCCCAGACCGGACTAGAACCCCAGGGTGCCGGCGCCGCAGGTGGAGGATTAGTCTAGTGAGCCGTGGTGCCGGCCCCGTGTGTTTGTTTTAATTATATAATTAAGAGGCAGAGTCACGTGGAGAGAAAGAACTCCCTCTTGCTGGTTCACTCCCCAAATGCCAGCAACGGTGATGTGTGGCCAGGCTAAAAATGAGAATCAGGAACTCAAGCCAGATCTCCCACATGAGTGGCAAGGACCTAACTACTTGAGCCTTCACCTGCTGCTTCCCAGGGTCTGCATTAGCAATAACTACAGTCAGAAGCAGAGCTGGGTAGCAAACTCAGGTGCTCCAATATGGGACATGTGTCGTATAAGTGCTAGGCCAAACGCCCACTCCAGTGTGTTTTGAATAGACTACAAGAATTCCTATTGTGGACTCAAAAGTAAATCCTCATGCTACAGCAGCCTCTGGGGTAAAAGCCAGACCTCAGCATCTTTCCCATGCCCTGAGGCTCTGTTCTACCTGGCAAGCCTTCCTTGTTAGGCCCCAGAAGAATCACCCTGCCACCGGCAAGAGGGGAAAAGAGAAAGGCCCAAATGCTAACGGGTCTAAGAGGTCACAAAGAGAAATCACAGGTGAGGAAATCAGAAGCCTTGCAAGTTGGGCAGAATTCATTTAAGGTCTGAAAACATTTATATGCATGCTACTGAATATTTGTGCATTGTAAAAAATGCTTATTCATTGTATAAATGAACTTGTTCATTATAAAAGAAAAAATAAGAAACCTAAAATCACAAATTATACCACTGCCTAGTCAAAAACAGACAGCATTTTCATACCTATTTTCTTAAAGCATACTTTTGTGATGAGCTATAAAATGCAATGATGAACTGTTTCCCCCAGCATGATCTATAATCTACTCTCTGATACAAATAGTTTTAAAATACTACTTACATGGAGGCTGGAAACAATGTTTCTGACTCCAACAGATTCAAAGAGCCCAGTTACAAACTCAAGATATCCTTGATACAATCAGGGGACCTGTCATGCCATGGTGTTGGGTGGGTGGCAGGCAGTGGCAGCTCTCCAACCTGGAGAAGAGGGGTGACCTCACTGTATGGGGGTTGCAGTGGGAGCTCAGAGAATCCAGCCAGGGCTCTTGATTCTGTCACTTCCTCTTTGACAGCACAGAGCCATGAAGGAAACCAGGGACAATACTTGAAGCTATGCATTGTTCACATCATTTATAATATACAATCTCTACTCTTCTATGCTAAATGAAGGTCACGAACTTGAGAAGAGTATGTCAGTATTATTGTACTCTAGGCTACAGAACAGTTCATTCAGTTGTCATCAGAATCTCGATTTGAATTCATTTGTGAAATATGGAGTCTTCAAAAAGTTTGTGGAAAAATGCATATTATGAAAAACTATGCATGAATTCCAATTTTGTACTAAAGTAAATTTATCTTTTAATTCTGTTTTCCACAAACTTCTTGAAGTATCTCAGCAAAAATAGAAAGCTTTCCCACCTATTTCCTCATTCACATTTAAAAAGCATCTTCTAGATAGTCTAGAGTTTCTACCATTCCTCATTTATCCTTCAGTTCTGGACTGAATCCAACACCAGCTTCAGAGTCCTGATTCTTCTATTAAGAAGTTGTGTGACACTGTGCAACTCACCTAAACCTCTCTGGACCTAATTTTCCTATCTGTAAAATGAAGATACAGTCATGAATCAGGAACCTCACGTTGGAGTCCTCTGATCTCTGAGTGGCCCATTCCTTCTCAGAATTTCCAAAACTACAGCATATGCAGCAGCAGCTACTCTCTAAAATGTAGTTGTGTCTTATATTACTGCTTGCGCACCAGTGAGGGATGGAAATTATTCATATGTGTTAGTTTTTAAAAAGGAAAATTAGTTAATGAATATGTGCTATACACAGGCTGTTATCAAATTATGGATGCAAAACACTTAGCTCAGTGCCTGATCCATCAGAAGCACAAATAATTCAACCAATCTTTACTGAGTACCTACTACATACCAGGTATGGTTCCAGGTGTGGGAGACATAGTAATCAGCGAGACAATGGAAATCCCTGCCTAACTGAATACAGTTATAACAACCATAAAATATAAATATAAAAAATGCTAACAATCAATTAGTGCATGAGCTAGTGTCAGTATTATTTCATAGGTAAGGATCTATATAGGAAAATACAATATAATGGCAGGCTTCAGCTGCAATAAACTTAGTCACTGGAAAGATGATCTCAAGACCCTGTTCAGCTCATAAACAGAGAGAGCTTTGAGACTGAAAACTATGGCCCTAAGCTAAATTAACCCTGCCTTCTCCATCACCTTCGCTCGCCAAACAGGCAGCCTTGCTAGTTGCAGGGATCCTTTGTCTTTCTCTTTTGTCTCCGAGGTACTTTCTAAAATTCAGTAATTAATCATCAAGAAGAAAACCGAAATCCCAAATCCTCACATATAATAACATTTAAACGAGTTTCTCTTGAAAAGTGTCAACATTATCTTTTCAAAACTTATAAACCCTGAAAAATACTCTACTGAAAATGATTTTGCATAGCATTCAAATACTTCTTTTTGTTTTTACACAATCCTTAGAGCAGTGGGAGTGGCAGGAGGCATTTCTAAGCCCTGAGCAAGAAAAATAACAAGGATGGATTATGTTGTTTTTCTAGACTGAAGTCACTTTTCAGTCAAAAGGCAACAGCTTGCCGGTTGGGAGCATGTTTCTCACTTAGGAAAGAGATGTTGGCTTTCAATTATACAAACCAAATGAATAAAGTAAATGTCAGGGATGATCAATGGGATACAATTATCACTGCAAATAGAGTGGTCATCACATCAGTAAGGTTGAAAACAGAGCCAGGTATGGAAAGTCAGCAGTATCTGACAACATGGACACAAAACACTACCCAAGGGGAAAGATGAGTAAGTAAATTGTTAAAAATGTGTCATCTTCATCTTTAAAATCAGAAGCGCTCGCTTACTTATATTGGGCAGCAAGAGCCTTCCTCAACTACTCTTACAATCGGACTTGCTCCCAAACCAAAGCTCACAGGGTCTGCTAAGACAATTACAGGATAAGTTCTGTTGCCAATACTGCATGAATGTTTGTAATTAAAATTCGGTGCTCAGTTAAAAGATTGTGTTTGTCACATGGTCCATGTAAAAGTGAAATATTGACACAATTATTATTTCTAACCACAGAATAGTTTTCTATGTCTGCCTCTAGCAAACAAAATACTGCCCATGACCTCTGATGTCCCTTCCATGTCTCTCTGAAACAAAAAGTGAGAATGGGATCCGACACATCAAAACAAATATACATCATATCAGCATAACAAAGCGAAAATACTGGCGGCTCACTAGGCTAATCCTCCACCTAGCGGTGCACCGGGTTCTAGTCCCGGTCGGGGCGCCGGATTCTGTCCCGGTTGCCCCTCTTCCAGGCCAGCTCTCTGCTGTGGCCCGGGAAGGCAGTGGAGGATGGCCCAAGCGCTTGGGCCCTGCACCCCATGGGAGACCAGGCCTGGCTCCTGGCTTCGGATCAGCGTGGTGAGCCGGCCGCAGCAGCCATTGGAGGGTGAACCAACGGCAAAGGAAGACCTTTCTCTCTGTCTCTCTCTCTCTCACTATCCACTCTGCCTGTCAAAAAAAAAAAAAGTGAAAATACTGAGTAAATATCCACTAAGCAAACAGGAAGCACATATATTCAGTTAGTATAATGTCAGAATTCGATGAAAAATGTTTAACCCACACAGGTTTTGCCACCAATGACAAGTGGATCAGATGGGAAGAAAGGTAGAATGTTAGACTGGCCAGTAGAAGGAAGAAATGGTGAGTGGTGTTGAATGGGTATGGAGTGTTCATTTTGAAAGGTGGCGAAGTTCTGATATTATATGACAATGTGAACGTACTTAAAAATACCTAACTGCAGAAATAAAAACGATTAGGATGACAAATTTTAATGTCATGTGTATTTTACCACAATTTAAAAAAACAATTTTGAGAGGAAACAAGAAGTGTTACTAGAGAAAGTCCAGAAGAGGTGGTGATGCAGCAAGACACCACATCTTGGCATTGTATGTATGTCTTCTATGTGCCACAAACCAGCAATGAAACACAGGAAAGACAAACTTTGCCTAATTAATATACCAAAAAGAACATTCTGTTTTTTTCTTCAAGTCCTGATTTGGAGACAAGTACACATGGAAAAGTAAGACTGATCATAGTTGATTGAAAACAATCTAGAAAGCTTCAATGCCCATCAGCTAATCTTGGTTCTGCCAAGACAGATGGGCCATATGTGTGCTCACTCCTGCTCTGGTATCTCTACAGCCTGCAACTACAGGCCTGCAAGAGAGGGGTTAGAGGACCAGATCTGGAGACCCCCATGCAACTATGCTGGAATTACTGAGAAATTGGGGGGGGGGGGGAGGAACTAATGAAAAGAAGTTAACAAAAGGGGTTTGGCCAAGAATGCAAATGAACAGATTTTTGCAATAGAAAGTGACCAGGATCGGCTGGTGGTAATTGTTCCCACCCTAGGCCAAGGTTGAGTGTAGGTAGCCAGTGCTCCAAGACCTTACCATAGGCTCGAAAGTCTCAGAACAAAAGGCCCTGAAATCAACTTACTGGATCCAAGTCAGTACTTTTTAAAAAAGGAACAATTAAATACAATATATTAGAGTGCACTGCACATAAATGTTGTCTTATTCACCATGTGTGTGTGTAAAACCCTGGGGGACCTTCTTAGCCATGAATCCCTGATGTCCCTTAACTCAGTCCTCTTTATCTATTTGCCAAGGAATCACAGGAAATAAATACTAACTCTATCATGCACAGTGCTAATGGCTGATGAAGGTCAGCTCTTGTTTTGAGTTTTCTTTGGATAATCTGTATTCTATGAAAAGGATTTGTTATCATTTTTATTGTTTGCTGCAGTAAAACTTACGTTCTGAATTTTTGGGGGAAAACAACATTCTAGAGAAGTAACTACCTAGAGTGGCTCCAGGGACTGTTTGACTCACACACACTCCCTCTGGCCCCTTCCACAAGCCTGGAAACTCTCCAATCTGCTGGCTTTGTCAATGTGCTCTTCTCTACTTATAAAAGCTATTTGTAACCCCATGTTTATAGTTCAATTCACAATAGTTAAGAAACGAAATCAACCCAGATATATATCAACTGCTGACTGGACAAAGAAAATGTGGTATATATACATGATGGAATCCTATTCAGCCATAAAAAGAATGAAATCTCATCTTTTACAACAAAATGGATGCAACTGGAGACCATTACATTTAGTGAAACAGTCCAGTCCCCAAAAGACATGTTTTCTCTGATATGTAGTAGTCAATACAGAATACAAAAAAATCCCCAATGTATAAGAATGACACTGACACCTTATAGTTTGATTATCATTTATAGCCCTTGCCTGTAGTCCAGTGAAACAGTGGTCTTTTGACTTTTTTATTTGTTGAGCATTATAGCTAGTGGTGCAGTAAGCCTAAGATTATAAATTAAATTGAAAGTATGCTTTTACAAAAATTAAAGGAAAAAATAGGAAGGAAGGAAGGAGGAGGAATTGAGGGAGGGAGTGGGGAAGTATGGTTATCTTCTTAGATTTGTATCTATGAAATACATGAAATCAAAGCAGTCATGGATTCTTGTTTGTTGCTGGATGCTACAAATTTGCTTCTTCACACAAATGAGATTTTTTATGCCCATCCGAGGACTTGGAACTTTTCTGGAAACTCAAAAGTACTAAAGTCTCATTTGAAAAGGGCAGTTTTACTAAGTTGAATCATCCATATTAAATCTCTACTCACACAAAACAATCTATACTGATTTGATTTTCAAAAACAAGAATTTGTTACTATCATTAACAATCACACATTTACACACTTCCCTTCTAGTTTCTATGCCATTCCCACCCCAAATTCAAGCCTTGGAATTAAGATGTGACAACACAAATGTGTTTCCATTTCTACAGTGAGCCACATACTTGGCCATCTTAACCCTTACAATGTCTTTATGTAAATTAGAAGACTCACTACTTCCACCTGTAGAAAACTGGTATAATAAATTAATTCTGCTGAACCAACATCTGGCTCACATGCTCTCCGGCCAAGTTCACCTTCTTTGATCATCCACTGTCCCTGACAGACTTGGAACCTTGTATTCAGTGTCCCGAGGTCAAGTCATCCTTGAGATTGTCTTCCTGTTTAGAGTTCAGGCCATCCAAAGGCAAGAGCCACCTGTGAAATACTTTTGGGCAGAAAAATCACGTACATGTTCAGTGCTCTGTAACTGTCAGCTGGTAAAAGTTAAGATATATAATGAAATGGTAATGACACTTTTTATGACTTCATTTTTCTTTAAAGAAGCACTTCAGTCATGTTTACTGACCTAGGTTGATATAGTAAATTAAACAACTGAACATTGTATTGAAAATTCCTTTAAATTGTTTTTCTTCTCAAATAGTTAATAATGATGTGTTATCTTGTTCTGGAAGCCCTTTGAAAGCAGCCCTCAAGTAGATACACTCTCTCTCCTGTTTACAGCTTACTCTCTACTCAGGAAGGTTTGAAGAGTTCCAGAGCACACTGACAAAAAGCAATGAGGTGTTTGCCTCTTTCAAACAGGAAATGGATAAAGTGAGTATTGCTTATCACCCATGAAATACTGGAATTTTCTATTTTGACAGGAAATTCTCCTTCGGGCTCATTTTTCTAAGATATTTCAATGCATTTCATGAAGTAATGAAACATTTATAGGTACAAATGATTTTTGGACTGTATTTTTTATCGGTAAGTATCTGGTGAATTATTCTTGGCAAGAGCCAAAAAATGCTAGGATATACTTTCACTCTGAGAATGAATATTTCCTTTCCCACTCCAGGATGGATTTATCCATTTTTAAAACCTCTCTCAAATTTCTAGAATTTAAGGCTGAATAAATACAAAAGCAGAAAACACTTTAAAGTTCAAAATTACATAGCTTTGACATTGTAGTAAATATTAGATCAAGAAGGGAATTCTTAATCTGAGCTCTGCTTATAACCTGTAGTAGCTGACCTGAGAATTCTCTGGAAATTAGCAAAAACAAAACTGATCCACATCTTTGCATTTTCCTAAGGTGTGATCCCATAGATTTCATAAAATTCTTAAAGGGTGATGACCTTAAAAAGTTTATAAAGTACTGATTTTGTTACTATGTGGTCAGAAGTAAAAAAAAAAAAAAAAAAAAATCATTCAGGGCTCACCTCACTTCTCTATGTGCCAGGGGCTGACAGTCAGCCTAGCCTCAGGCAGCTTGGCTTGAAGCAGCAAGTGCCCAGCTATGGTTCATCCAGGGAAACCATAACTAACTGTATCCTTTGTTCTTCACTTTACTCAAGCAGAGAGGAAATCCTACAACTGGGAATGTGAGCTGCCTCAATTTCAAAAAGAGATGACATCTTATTAACTTCTGTATGCCCCATGCCCAGCCCAGGGCCTGGTGACCAGCAGACACCGCACATGTTGCACAAAACGGAATGGAGTAACTCCAGTCCCTCTTCTGTTAACTAACCTGAATATTACTCCACTGCTCTGAGTCTCAGCTTCCCTATCTCTAAAGCAGGGGTGAAAACAGAACCATACCTATGAGACTGCCTCAAGGATGAGAGGAATGATGTGTCTAATTACATTCTGTGAACTCTCCCTCAAACTACAAATGTAAAAACAAAAAACTGCTTTTATGTGCCTACTTCTCAAATGTGCCCAAACAGTGTCAGCATTTTAATGACTAAGAAACCATGCCAGCCTTCTCACCACTGTGGAGTCTCCTATTCAATAAAGCAAATAATCTAAATTGCAAGCTTATTCATGGGACTCAGTAAAGATATTTTTGTTTTAAATGAAAGAAAAAAAAACAATGAAAAAAAAGTGTGTTCCTAAGCAGTTTCCTTTTTCCTGAACTGACTCTGGTGCAAACGTGTATGTACCAGTGACTAGAGGATGCAGAAATAAATCACAATTCTTCTGCAATCTTCATTCTTGACATCGAACAGCTGTTTGCTTCAGTAGCTGGTAACAAAAGGACTACTCTTGATGTCCAAGAGAGAACTCACAGCTTCCTCGATGCATTCATTCTTCAGGGTTAACACTAGAACATTCTATTTTCTGTAGATGACTAAGAAAATGAAGAAGCTGGAAAAGGACACCGCCACATGGAAATCCCGGTTTGAAAATTGTAACAAAGCTCTGTTGGATATGATTGAAGAGGTGAGAAAGTTTGTCTCTTAGCTTTTACCTCCCCACCCCCAGTCTAGTCAAAACATTCACACTTAGAATGTAATTAAAATTTGATAGTACAAATAATTATATTTGAAAAAGAGATAAATGGGATGCAAGGAAGGAATGTGATATATTAAATTGAAATAAAAATAATCAGAGCAAAAGCCATTTAGAATCTGATTCTAAATTAGATTCATAAAGAGCTTTGTGACCCTAACTCATATGCTTACTTGTTGATTCAACAGTTGAACAGCAGCACTCCACCTGCTAAACTGAATTGCTATTTTTTTTTAAGATTTATATATTTATTTGAAAGGGCAGAGTTCAGAGAGGCAGAGGCAGAAGCAGAGAGAGAGAGAGAGAGAGGTCTTCCATCTGCTGGTTCACTCCCCAAATGGCCGCAACGGCCGGAGCTGAGCCGATCTGAAGCCAGGAGCTAGGAGCTTCTTCCAGGTCTCCCACGCTGGCGCAGGGGCCCAAGGACTGGGACCATCTTCTGCTTTCCCAGGCCATTAGCAGAAAGCTACATCAGAAGGGGAGCAGCTGGGACTTGAACCAGTGCCCACATGGGATGCCAGCACTGCAGGCAGCGGCTTTACCCACTACACCACAGCATCGGCCCCTACACTGAATTTCTTAAAGGTAGAATGAGTCTCATTTGGCACTGAATTTCCCCAGTGCCTAGCATATCACAGGTGCAGAATAAATTAATAACTTGATTTGAATATATTGAAAGACACCAGCTGGCCGGCGCCGTGGCTCACTAGGCTAATCCTCCGCCTAGCGGCGCCGGCACACCGGGTTCTAGTCCCGGTCGGGGCGCCGGATTCTGTCCCGGTTGCCCCTCTTCCAGGCCAGCTCTCTGCTGTGGCCAGGGAGTGCGGTGGAGGATGGCCCAGGTGCTTGGGCCCTGCACCCCATGGGAGACCAGGAAAAGCACCTGGCTCCTGGCTCCTGCCACAGGATCAGCGCGGTGCGCCGGCCGCAGCGCGCCTCCGCAGCGGCCATTGGAGGGTGAACCAACGGCAAAGGAAGACCTTTCTCTCTGTCTCTCTCTCTCACTGTCCACTCTGCCTGTCGGAAGAAAGGCCAAGAAAAAAAGACACCAGCCAAAGCACCCAGAATAGGTGCTACTTTATTTTTATTTATTTGGAAGGCAGTTGAGGAGAGGGTGAAGAGAAGAGGGAGAGAAAGAGAGACTGATCTTCCATCTGCTGGTTCACTCCCTAAATATTGACAACAGCTGCCAGGAACTCCATCATGGTCTCCCACAAGGCGGCAGGACCCAAGCACTTGGGCCATAATTTGCTGCCTCCCAGCTGTGTTAATAGGAAGCTGGATTAGAAGCAGAAGTGGGCCCGCGCCGCAGCTCACTAGGCTAATCCTCCGCCTTGCGGCGCCGGCACACCGGGTTCTAGTCCTGGTCAGGGCGCCGGATTCTGTCCCGGTTGCCCCTCTTCCAGGCCAGCTCTCTGCTGTGGCCAGGGAGTGCAGTGGAGGATGGCCCAAGCGCTTGGGCCCTGCACCCCATGGGAGACCAGGAGAAGCACCTGGCTCCTGGCTTCAGATCAGTGCGGTGCGGTGCGCTGGCCAGGGCAGCCATTGGAGGGTGAACCAACGGCAAAGGAAGACCTTTCTCTCTGTCTCTCTCACTGTCCACTCTGCCTGTCAAAAAAAAAAAAAGAAGCAGAAGTGGCAATCAATCCCAGGCACTCCCACATGAAATGCGGACACTTCATGTTGCAGCTTAAATCTGCTGTATCACAGCACCCACCCCAGGTATATGCTACCTTACAGATAGACATGGGGATACATTTTTCATTACATCCCTACAATAGGCATTTAAATACTAATTTTATGTAAGGGTCTGAATAGGTCTTAAGACTCTAAAGGCAAACACACATGATCCCTGACCTGAGAAACAGGGCTTTCACATATAGTTCTCTCCATGTATACAAGGGGAAAAAGTCTTAAAGGTACAAAGTAGCTCATAGGTGGAGGTAAACAGTGAGATTATTAGGAATATTTTCATGCACAAACACATCAACATTTCTACAGAAAAGAACTGAATAGTTTGAGCAGCCAGCATCATGAATGAGTGTGGTGAGTTTACATGCTTATAATTACTTTTCTAAAACTGCATCCCAAATTGCAACCAATTCCAAAGACACTTATTACTTGTCAGCATAAATCAAACAGTTGTTGGGATTATCACATAGCAGTTTATCTAGAACAGACACAGCGTTGCTGAGGGCCGAATCCTGGTCCATTTCATTCGGTTTGCTATAAGCTTTTGCTTACAGTTAGTCTTAGCAGCAAAAAGTTTCTCTATTTGTAAGATTTGAGAGTAAGCCTTGCCATCTTTCCTTCCTCAACAACAGGATATGGTGACTAAATTCTATCAGAATCTAGCACAGAATGCAAAAAATACAGAAGTGACTAGCTCTGATTAAGCGTCCATCCACCATTCTGTGCCCAAGTCCCAAAGCCTTCAAGGCAAATATTGGTTCTCTCCAGAGAGCATTCTGGGAGTTTTGCTTTTCGTGTCGTTTCATGTGTCTCTGTTTTCAAATCCCAGAAAGCACTGAGAGCTAAAGAATATGAATGCTTCGTGATGAAAATTGGGAGGCTAGAGAACCTCTGTCGAGCTTTACAAGAAGAGAGAAATGAACTCTACAAAAAAATCAGAGAGGCAAAAACACCTGAGAAAGATGACCAAAGTCAGCATACCTCGGATGAAGAGCCGAGTGTCTCCGCGGAGAAGGAGATGGATGCAGAGGAGGCCAACAGAGTTCAAAACGCCGTGGAAAGGCTGGCCACGGCCTTCAGGGTAATTCATGGTCCAGAGTCCACCCCTGCCCAGTCCACAGAAATCCCGCCAGAACCCGGCAGGCCTCAGGAGGGCGGAGCCTCCGGCCCCAAGGAGCCGGAACAACCTCCCCTGACCCCTTCAGGGGATTCAGAAAGGCCTTCGCCTTCCCCAAGCCCTCAAGCCGCAGCTGAAGGTCAGGCAGAGGCCAAGACCACCCCTGCAGGGCCGGCATCAGAACCCAGAGCCTCAGGGCTCACGGCGGAGCAGCAGCCCCGGAAGCTGGAGGCAGAAGCTTCCGGTCAGGCCCCTCAGGCCCCAGCGGAAGCTCCTTTAGCCCGGGTGGAGACCGATGGTTCCGGTTCGCTGCCCCCAACACCGGAGCAGGTTCCAGCACCGGTGATGGGAGGTGAGCCCACGAGACAGCTCGCACCCGCAGCCACAGAGGAGCTGACCCCAGGGGCTGGAGCTGGGTCCCAGCTGTCCGAAGTGGCCGACGCCAACCTGGAAGGAGTAGACTAAGTCCCATCAGCCTTCAGGGGCTGGGCTGTCTGATGTCTCAGCTCCGTCCTAACAGCCGGGCTTGTGAGACAGACATCGAGGGCTAGGATGTCAAATGGAAGAGTTATGATCAAGATGTTTTTTCAGTGTTAGGCAGGGCACATTCAGCCTTTTCTCATTGTTCTTGATTTATAACTGATTTGGAGCTTTTCTGTTTAACACTGCGTGATAGAATCATTTTCTCAAATGGCCACAAAGTATACCGAAAGCAAATATGCATTGCTGCCATTAAGATAGTACTTAATTCAGTTTCTTAATAACAGTAAGATTTGATGTTTAGACTTCTACTATATACAAATTCTGAAAATGTGTTCTACTTATTGCCACATACAGTTTAATAAGTTCCATTGTATTCAATGGATGCTCAGGTTCCTTTTAAAGGTATATTCACACAATATATGCATATGTGTTTATGTATACAGGGGTGCTTCAAAAAGTGCATGCAGAATGAAATTAAAAGATGTTTATTTTGGTGCAGAAAAAAATGGAAATCAGTGCCAGGGGGGTCTTCAAACGTTCATGGAAATGTGTATTATGAAGAAACTATGCATGGATTTCAAAATTTTTCTGCAAAAAATATGAGTAAACTTATCTTTTGAAAACATGTTCATTTGAGAAAGAGTTCCCATCCATTGATTCACCTCCCAAATACCCGAAAAGAGGCAGGAATTAGGAATTCAATCCGGGCCTCCTATGTGGGTGGCAAGAACCAGGTGCTTGAGTCATCATTGCTGCCTGCCTTAGTAGGAAGCTGGAGTCAGGAACAAGTGCAAGCTATCAAACCCAGACACTTAGTGAGGGACATGGTGCCTTGGCCAGTTCCTCAGCCGCTAAGATAAACACCCATCCCTAAATCTACCTTTTAATTCCATTTCCGTGAACTTGTTGAAGTATTCACAAATGTATGTATATGTGTACCTATTTATGTGGGTATATATACATATATGTGTATACATATATACATGTGTATTTTATGTAAATGTATATTACACATACGTTCCTCTCATACCTTTATGAATATTTTTCTATGCAAAATATGAGATGCTAATCAAAAAAATTGTCTCATACTTGCACCCAGGACTATGGTAGACTAATGCTTTATGAATCAGAAGTAGGTTCCAAACACAAGTATTTAGACCATTGCAATGTGCAAAATTAAGTAGTCCAATGTTAGATCAATAAATTCAGCCAAATGACAGAACAGCACTTGGATTAGACTGCAAGTCTGGGCAGCAAGTGTGGACACAAATATGACCACAAGAGTTCCCAAACAGAAAAACAGAAGCACTTGCAGCTATGGACTGCTCACCTCTTCCAGTTTCTCCTCCTATGCTCCTCATCCCACTGCTTGCAACCCTCTCATGGGGTCAAACAGCCTATTTGTGGCTGCCTACAAGACAAAGACTGAGAGTGGGAAAGGAAGTGAAGGACAGGACGGAGGAGGAGAAGGACCTCAAACGGAGAGGCCCCCTGCCTCTTTGCTGCAAATATCTCAAGAGAGAACACTCACCTCTTGTGACTGTTTCTGTCTATATCCTCAAAGCACCTGCTCCTTCCTTCCTTCAAAATTCCCTTCTTTGCAGCAGGAAGTCATACCCAGCCCTCATCTCAGTTAATGTTAAATAAAACTATTACTTTTCCAAAACAGAAATCCACACAGGGTCTCAATGTGAATGATGAGGCTTACAAACCATTTTTCTTTGAAGATTTCTCTAAAGGCTAAAATACAAAACAAAAACAAATGGGCCCCTACTCAAAATGATTTGAAAAATAGGTGAGGATTCAGGAGAAGGGAAGAGCTAGAAACACCTAGGGTTGTTTACATGAGTATTAAGAATCTCTAATAACACTGGCAGCATAGATTACCTAGGGTAAAGGAAGACTGCAACAAAAAAATATGAAGAAAGAGAGGGAAAGGGGACGAAAGGGAGAAAAAACTATCTAACCCAACCCAATGGGAAAGCTGAACTCCAATGGGAAAATGGATAAAACAAGATTCTGTGCTACTTATCCGGGAAATCATCTGTCAATGTTGAATGTGGCTGTTTGCCAAAGCACACAAAGCACTTTTAGGTAGCAGCTATATGCTGTAAGAATTTTAAACTGCATAAAATCTGTTTAAAGTGAACAGGGAGGGTAATAACACAAACACTAGTCAAGGAAAAGATCAGGAGAAAAGCATGTCACTGTATCAGAACCCATATATTTTTGAAGGCTTAAAATATTAAAACTACAGAGTATCCAGCCAAATTCAACATTACTGGAAATCTTTGAGATTTAAATGTTCATTTAATTCAGAGCCAAATCTTCACTATAACAATCGAGGAAGGTCTTCTTTCCTACTACTTACAGACACTGACCTACCCCACATGGGGTCGGATTAGACAACCATTGTAAAGTCTCATTCTGAATGTTTAGCAAGAGAAACAGGCAGGCGAGGAGCCAAATTCAGTAAATTAAATATTCTAGCACCCAGAGTTCTTTATTTTCATCCAAACGGCTTTTATCGCAACACATTACTCACTACTATCTCGGGTAGAATTTCAGATACAATAACTTGCTTGAAATTTGTAAAGCTTAACATAGGCATTGTTAGAATTATTTTAATATTCCAAGACTGTTTTATTATAGTCCTTTGTATTAGAACTTGGCCTTACTAATTACAAAATTCATATAATCTGAATGCAGAAGGATTTTCTGTTCTTTATTAAATAGCTAATGTAACTATTTTCAGAGATGTTACGGATGTTTTCTAAACATCTATATAACTATTCTAAATAACTATAATTTAAATATCTATTAAACTGGTACTTTTCTTCCGAAGTTTTGTAGTAGCAGTTTTATTTATTTTTAGTTTTAACTTTAATTTTGGTTACTTATATCTTTCAAAAATGACTTACAAACGTATGGTTTCCTTCTATTGTTGGTTGAGTTTTTAGTGTCTGAGTAATGTGGATGTGCAGTTGACACCTTTAAAAAATATTTTGCAAAGAGAGAGAGAGAGAGAGAGAGAGTGTGTGTGTGTGTGTGTGTGTGTGTGTGGAGAGGAAGGAAGGAAAGAGAACAATGAGGTTAGAGTCAAAAGTGACTGACGCCTACAGGAGAGGAACTTGAACCAGAATGCTCATGTGCTGGGGTTTCACTGTCTCGACCAAAAGTTCATGTGTCAGCAACTTAATCCCTCGGGGCTGGCACTGTGTGGGGCAGCAGGTAAAGCTGCTGCCTGCAGCACCGGCATCCCGTATGGACACCAGTTCTAGTGTCCGCTGCTCCACTTCTGATCCAGCTCCCGCTAATGTGCCCAGGAAAGCAGCAAAGGATGGCCCAAGGGTTTGAGCCCCTTCCACCCACCTGGGAGATCCAGATGGAAGCTCTTGGCTTCAGCCTGGCCCAGAGCTGGACATTGTGGCTATCTGGGGTGTAAACCAGCAGATGGAAGATTCTCTGTCTCTGTGACTCTGACTTTCAAAATAAATAAATCTATATTTAAAAAAAAAAAAAGAAAAGAAAAGAAACAATCCCCAAATCTGAGTCAGTGGCATTTAGGGACAGGGCCTGCAGGAGGTAATTTGGAACAGATGGGGCCTTGAGAGTGGGACCCCCACGTGGCTTTGTAGGAAGTGGAAAGGAGACCCAATCTAGCCTGCTTGCTGGCTCACCATGGGATGTCTCACCATGTTATGATGCAACAGAAAAGCTGTCACTGGTTGCCAGCACCACACTCCTGGGCTTCACAACCGAAGAATCCTCTATTCTTTATAAATGGCCAGTCTCAGGTATCTTACTGTATTAACAGAAAATGGATCAAGACACCAGGGTTAAAAGCAAAACCTAGACTCCTCTCTTCAGGACCCGGGGGACAGCTATCTTCTGGCCAATATATTTCTCTTCAGAACCACTCTCCAATGAGACCATGTTTCACAGGTTTTTCTGCCAAGTATTCTCTCAGAAATACTCTGGAGGCAAGTGTCTGGCATACAGGTTAAGATGCTGCTTGATAGGGCCAGCACCATGGCTCACTTGGCTAATCCTCCACCTGTGGCGCTGGCATCCCATATGGGCACCAGGTTCTAGTCCCGGTTGCTCCTCTTCCAGTCCAGCTCTGCTGTGGCCTGGAAGTGCAGTGGAGGATGGCCCAAGTGCTTGGGCCCTGCACCCACATGGGAGACCAGGAGGAAGCTCCTGGCTCCTGGCTTCGGATCGGCGCAGCATCGGCTGTGGTGGCCATTAGGGGGGTGAACCAACGGAAGGAAGACCTTTCTCTCTGTCTCTCGCTGTCTATAACTCTACCTGTCAAATTAAAAAAAAAAAAAAAAAGATGCTGCTTGAGATACCCACATCCCATATTCACCCTCTGGCTCCGGCTTCCTGCTAATGTGCACCTTGGGAGGCAGCAGTGCTGACTCAAGTGGGTAACACATGTGGATAACGAAGATTGAGTTTCTAGTTCCTGGCTTTGGCCTAGCCTAGCCCTGGCTGTTGTGAGCATGTGGGGAGTGAACCAGCAGAAGGGAGCACTCTCACTGTCTATCTCTATGCCTCTTTAAAAAATATTTTAAAAAGCCAATTCAGTCATTAAAACTAAATTTGTAAAAGAAAAAATGATAAGTCTGACTTCTGAAGTTTGTTCCCATCATAGACTGTCAAGACAGGTTCAGAAGCTAATATGGTACAACTCAAGACTGAATTTTCACAAGATTTAAATAATGTTCATTTCTGTTCCTTTGGGACCTGTAAATTAGTTATCATTGGATCACCCTTGAAGGTAGCCCAATAGAATGGAAGCTTTCCCGTTATTGTAATGAAGATATTTCTTGATCCTACAAAGTTGTATCCTCAATTTGTGAGGTTAAGTCTCCCTAGTAGTACCACCTGGTAGATGTTGTACCAATGCTAGCTGCTATTGTATGTGTGTGAGTGTATACACAAACACACATGTACATAAATACATAGGAATAAAGTTTGACCTAGACTTAATTGTGTTCCTGTAAAGTGCGACTTTGTACCAGTGTTTTCAAATGCTTGGTATTATATTTTCTGACATGTACCAAGTAAAAAAGAATTGCTTTCTGTGTGAATAAAGATATTTTATGTAAACATTCAACAAATTATACCTAGAAATTCATGAATTCATAGCACAAAACTTATCCACAGAAGCTGTTCCATTTTACCAGGAGATAACAAAAGGGACCCATCATTTCAACAGCACAGTCAAGCTTGGCTGAATCCAAGTGCAAGTCTTTCTTCCTGCTGGATTTTTTTTTTTTTTTTTTTTGACAGGCAGAGTGGACAGTGAGAGAGAGAGACAGAGAGAAAGGTCTTCCTTTGCCGTTGGTTCACCCTCCAATGGCCGCCGCTGCAGCCGGCGCACCGCGCTGATCCTGGCAGGAGCCAGGAGCCAGGTGCTTTTCCTGGTCTCCCATGGGGTGCAGGGCCCAAGCACCTGGGCCATCCTCCACTGCACTCCCTGGCCATAGCAGAGAGCTGGCCTGGAAGAGGGGCAACCGGGACAGAATCCAGCGCCCCAACCGGGACTAGAACCCGGTGTGCCGGCGCCGCAAGGTGGAGGATTAGCCTATTGAGCCACGGCGCCGGCTCCTGCTGGATTTTATGATCCAAGATTTCAGTTAATGCCAATTTCTATCCCACTTTAATGCTGAATATTTTTAAGTCATATGTTATAATGTTTAATTACCCCATGTCATAACTAAAACATACCTACATGTAAAATTCATTATTTCTGAACTGACAGTCAATTGATGACATGCAATGTCAAGACACAAAAACCACCATATTTTTTACAAGATGTATTTTATTTCATATTTTATTTGAAAACAGAGTGATAGAAAGAGAGCAACACACATGAGAGAGAGAGAGAGAGAGAGAGAGAGAGAGAGAAAGAGATCTTCCATCTGCTGGATCACCTCCCAAATGGCCACAGCCAGGTCTGAGTCAGGTAGAAGCCAAAAGACAGGAATTCCATCCTGGGTTCCCATGTGGGTGCAGGGACCCAAGCACTTGGACTATCTTCTACTGCTTTCTCAGGCACACCAGTAGGAAGCTGGATCAGAAATGGAGCCGCTGAAACTTGCACTGGTGCTCCAGTAAGCAGCAGCTTAACCCATTGTACCTCAACACCAGCTCCAAACCACCATATTTTAGGTCAAATAAAACACATATGAGCTGAACAAGAAGACATGGTATAAAGAGAAGGAAAGGAAGATAGGAAAACAGAATTCTAATCTGATACTGTCATATAA